TTTCCCAATGCATATGATCATCCAACCATGGACTATTTTTTAAATTTTAGGATAGAATAAGGTGTGTTGGAGCACTTTTTTTTTTTTTTTTTTTTTTACACTCTGGGTCCTTATATGGGGAACATTCTCATCACATATTACTTCCCGACTACACAGAGGTTCCTAGGACAGCAAAAATGAGGTGGAATCTTCCTAGTGGGCAGCCAGAGGATGAAAACCTGACAGAGGTCCTCTCCACTATTAAAAAAAAAAAAAAAACTTTTACTGGAGCTGGACTCTAATAACTTCACCTGTTAAAAGGATCTCAGTTGACTGCATACTTGAACAACTAATTATTGCACATAAACAGCAGAGGCAGACACTTTTTCTAATCATTATCATGTAAGAGAGGAGTTACTGTACTCCATTCATTGGCAGTATAAGTTTGTCTAAGATACATTTAACACATGTTGTCATGTTCTTGTTGGATTTCATGAATGACTACATGAATTGGGTCCCCAATTCTCAGAGAACACTAAAATCTGTCCCAACTCAACCAATACTTAACAATCCTAAGAAAAATGCTTCAAGGCTGCTTTCCAAGGCATCATTTCCACAAAGGGCATTGTGTAATCTATGCATGTAAATGCTATTCTGAAGAGTATTACAATCTACAAGCTTTGAAACCAGTTTTAAGTGTCATTCTTAAAACCTTCCAGTTGGTGAGTGATGGATATGGATCTTAAAAGTCCCTGTTGTAGCTTTAAACAAGTGAAAATCTTGTAAAGCTACACCTGGCATTCCCATAATGATCTATTTTCAATACTCAGAGTATGATGGATGCTTTAAATACTTCAGGAATATGAAGTTTGGGTACGTTACACTTATAATGCAGGTTGTCTTGCCAATCTTATATTAACCTGCCCTCTACCGCAATATCACCCATGAAACTGCAAAGCTGTTTGGAAGTCTGTGCGCATGTGATGTTTACTCTCCATAAGAGAGAATAAAAAATGTACAGCACACTTGTTCCCTGGCTCAAAAGATTACTGCAAGCAACTATCGTGCTGGATTGGGGCATGTGAGAATAAGACTGACAGCAGGGGCTGGGGCAAGGCAACCTACACTATAGATGTAACTGCCCCAAAGAGGCTTGGTGAATGCAATAATCTTCAGACTAGTGTTTTCTGACCAAGAAAAAATAATGGTCATGGAGCCGGACAGAGCACATATTCAACACTATAGATATTGAGTCCTATTTACTCACAAAGTAATTCTCCAGCTCTGTCCCATGCAAATGTTTCTATGTACTCTCATGTGAAGGGTGGTATCTATTAGACGGCTGTTTGAAAACACAAATCTCCCTACAGAAGTTCTGTTGGGTGCACTAGGACCCATCTCCACTGAGTACCCAAGCTCCCCACTGGAACAGTCCAAAGCTAAAGCTAATGGCTGACTTTCTGGACTATGGAAGCTTAACATCAAATCTTATATTTCTATGGATAGGCAAATTCAATAATAAAAATAGCTTTCTAGTAACAGATTTGTATAAAACAATATAAGAGCATTTTTCTTCTACTACTGCTATAGCAGCCTAGGCGTAGGACATGCTTATTTCACTTATATTTTCCAAAGGCTCAGAAAATAAAACACATTAATACAATAAAATCAGTAACTGTATAAAAATATCACTTTACAAACTGAGGACAAAATTGCACCATAAATGAAATGTTGACTTTCTTTTTCAAAATAAGTCACATCCCTCTATAAAGTCATTGTTTTGATACAAGTATATTAAATTCATTAAACACATAGTAAATGCAATACAAAAGAAACAGTTTAATATTCTTCAACCTAAAACACACTATGCTAAATATCTATTTCAAATGTATCCTAAAAAAAAAAACCATATTGCTAAAGACTTAGATTGTAAACATCAGCAAGTAAATATTCAGAATGTTACAGAACTGTTAAAAACAAACCATGCAATGCTGTCAGGGAAAATGCAATTAATCAGTATTAATAAAAAGGATAGGTCCAGGAAGCACAGCTCTCTAGACTGGGGGTTGGAGGTGAAATGAAAATGCCTTTGTGATCCCGATCCAGAGCTCCTGGTATCCCTGTCTACTACTTCTGCACAGACTCTGTTGTCCTCAATAGGACCAACACCTAATTCTGGGCCTGCACTGATCAGCTGGCAGGGGTAAACATGTCAAAATATGCAGATTTCTACATCTAGAATGCTATGCTACCTGGATAAGTAGTGCAAAAAGCAACAAAGATGTGCACAGTGCAGCAACCAATCACTTTAGTAAAAATTAATTTAGGTCGGTAGGTGTGCTTTACTGCAGTCTGCACTATTTGTTTTATTCAAAAAGCCTGGATAATGTAGTGCAAGAGAACACTATTCTTCTACAATGGAAGACCTATACTTGGTCCTGTAATCTGTTGTTACTGGCACAAGTTATTGAACAAGGACAGTGGCATTTTTACTGTAGGTGCCTGATTACAAAACAAAAACTAGAGCTAGGCAGATAGGTAAGACATCCAGAGATTCATATAACATCACAGTGCAAAAAGCAATGACCAAATTTACCAGCTTCCATATCAAATGACAGGTCTAATTTCTAATTTGTGGCCAAGAAACGGAGAGCTTTGCACTTTGATTTTTGTCCTCCTAAAGGATCTAGTATATCTGCACAGGGATATATTTGTTAGGCCTGTTATAAAGATGGTATGTTAAAACGTTTTTGCCGGAGTTCACATAATCCAAGGTCTATGAATACAAACCCTGTGCCCTTGTACTGTACGATTAAAGTGTAAACCTTTTCAGAAAATGAAAGTTGAACTAGTACCCCGTACCTCCTAGTTCCCGCTGTATTTACCTCCGTGGGTGCCCACGCAGCCATTTCAGCAGTCCAGGAATTTGAATTCCCCATGCTTCTCTCTCTTCATTCTGCAGCACTTCTGGGATGAATCAAAGCAATTCTGATTGGTTAGTGTTGGTACAGAGCATCACTCTAATCGGTTCTGAAAGCACTGCAGAAGAAGAGGGAGAAAAGCAGGGATTTCAATTCCCCGGACCGCTACATCGGCTGCAAGGGCACTGACAGCTCATCACCTACGAAGGTAAGTACAGCAAAGACCATGGGAGTGGGGAGGGTGTACGGTGTTAGTTCACCTTTTCATTTTTTTCTGAAAAGGTGAACTACCCATATAGGATAAAGAAATCTTAAAATGCTTCAGAGTCCTACATATTAAAACCAAAGGGAATAAAATCTGGCTGCCTTTAGCAACCAAAAGTTTGCATTTTATTACCTGTACCAGAAGAATGACTTGCTAGTAAGTTTATGCTTTAAAAACATATGGCCCATAAGTAGTTATTTTTTATAGGTTTACTGATGGGTCCCATACACAGATTATAATCACTAAGTTCCAGTTGGGTAACTCTTAAAAAGCCACAGGAAGGCTCTCTGAAAAGTGAGCTGCACAAAGAAAGCCATGCAAGGCCATAGGAATGAGTTCAAGATCTGAACAATTTGCAGTAATCCAAGCTGCTACGAGCACTTCAACCAATATGGAATATAACTTTATACAAGATTGTAATCAGTAGCAGCTGGGGTATAGTATGGCTACATGTATATTGCAATTGTTGTTCATTAAAATTATTGCAGTGACATTTTTATCAAACCAAAACCAGGAAGCACACAGGGTTGGCCACCCAATGCCAACAATTGCCCACTATGTATGTATATAATGTATGCATCAATCAGTGCATTATAAAACACTTAAGGCTTTTATTTATTAACATGTGCAAAAACCTTTGGGGGGGAGCCCACAGCAACCAATTACAGAACAGCTTTTACTGGTGTTACTACATTACACTACGGCAAATCTGGGATTTGGATGCCACAGTTTACTCTATATAGTTACTCCTTATGTTTTGAGCTACATTCCTATTTTGTTTTCATTAATGTTTATTGCCATAAAAAAAAAAAAAAATAAATAAGCTTGCACTTTTCACAACTCATCCCTGAATGTTTTCTCTAAGTAAGTTATTCTGGGAAATATATTTTTAGAACCAAAAAGGAAGGAAGGAAGGAAGGAAGGTAAAAATATCTACATAGGAAAATAGAGCCTATTTCTCTTCCCAAATATGAATGCAGCCACTTCTTAGACCTTCTGTAGGTTTTATCCAATTTTCAATCATTTTATGAGCATTTTGCATTTGGTAAAACATAGGCAACTGAGACTGTTTCTCACTATTAAAAAAAAAAATGTTTTTTTCCTCTAGTAATCACATGAAGGCATAAAAGGTGTTTATAGGTTTACCTAGTTCTGTGTATTCTAAGTATTTGGATACTTTAAGCAGAGCCTGTTGTACTGCTTATTTAAGCCCTACCTACCGCAGACACACTAGACACATGAAGTGATTGTCAAAGCCCGTTATGTTCCTGTAGTATTAGGGTAAAGATAACGGTCAAGGCTGCAATGAGTTAATAAACCAAAATTGTATTGTAATAATAATTCTCAGGCTTCAAGAGACCCTTGCACTTGTGTAGCCAAAACCCAACTTACAGCTAAACAATGCTTACGTTTCGCATCTGCTGAACAAAGCTTTGCCATTAAAGCTCCTATTGAAGATATCACTTTTAAATTAGAGAGCACACAGATGTAGCAATTTCTCCTCTAATTCAACATTAACACAACATTACAGTGAGTCAGGTGGAATAAGAAACAAGCTGACATCACGGGTGATTTTTTGACAAGACACTGAAAGCCGTGTTGCACAGTTACTTGCGCTGACCTGTGTTGTTTTGACCCATACACTGGACATTTGTAACGTCTATAGTAATAGAGGATTAAAAAAAACAAATCCACAAACTTCTGCAGGACAGCACTCTTCTTCATTTAACATCCAAGCAACAAAATGTTCCATAAGAAGTTTGTACGGCATTGAACCATCTGGGCTGGGATCATAGGAAAATTTTAAACAGAACCAGTCAAGATTTGAAGACCTCTCAGCGTTTGATTACGACCTGCTCATAAGCTCCAGCGCCGACCCTAATGGAAGAAAGAGAAGGCAACACTTACCATTTGGTGATTTGTAAATGAGGACTCCAGTAGGAATCTATATGTTATAACATGCCCATGGGCAGAAATTTCTGAACAATATGAAGCTCCTTAGATACAAGCACTGCATTTGGAGTGAGATTTACAGGTGTCATTCGTGGCACTGTCACATGATCGTAGTGGTAGAGAAAGAGACAGGGTATAGAACATAGATTGCAAAAATAATGCTTATAGCTTCTTCTCTGGAACATGGCATCCAGGCTTGCAACTGTGAAGAAGCACGTGATCTTTGGAAAACATGTAATAAATATTCTATATACACATTAAGCTACTATTATGCTATAAAGAATCTGTTTCACACACCTATTTGGCAGATGATGGCTTCCAAGAGCGGTGCTCCCTCCAGGACCCACAAAAAGTCTCAGACCTTCCTCTGCAAATATATAGACACAAACATATTATCTGTGCTATAAACATCACAGATATAACGCGTCATTCTCTTACAATGCAAAAAAAGGTAGCTTCGTAATCACTGCAATAAGCTGTATTAACCCTTTTGTGACCAGAGGCCATTAATGCCTAGATGTCCAGGACAAATCTAGAAGAGCAGCACGAAGTCGTTAACTTGACATTAACTCTAGGAGTAATTTGCTTACCTAAATTTATATTCAGTTAGGTCCATATATATTTGGACACAGGCACAATTTTCATACTTTTGGCTCTGTATGCCACCAGAATGAATTAAAATGAAACCATCCAATTGAATTTGAAGTGCAGACTTTCAGCTTTAATTCAAGGGGTTAAACAGAACTACCAAGTACAAATTTTAGGAACTGCAACCATTTTTATACACAGTTCCTCCATTTTCAGGGGCTCAAATATAATTGGACCAATGAATATAATCATAAATAAAATGTTCATTTTTAATATTTTGTTGAGAATCCTTTACTGGCAATGGCTGCCTGAGGTCTGGAACCCATGGACATTACCAAAGACTGGGTTTCCTCCTGTTTCTTTGCCAGGCTCTAACTGCAACTGTCTTCAGTTATTGTTTGTTTGTGGGTCTTTCTGCCTTTAGTCTTTCCTTCAGCAAGTGAAATGCATGCTCAATTGGGTTGAGATCAGGTGATTGACTCTGTCATTGCAGAATATTCCACTTCTTTTCCTTCAAAAGCTCCTGGGTTGCTTTTGCATTGTGTTTTGGATCATTGTCCATTTGTACTGTGAAGTGCCGTCCAATCAACTTTGCTGCATTTGGTTGAATCTGGGCTGACAGTGTATCTCTAAACACTGCAGAATTCATCCGGCTGCTTCTGTCTTCTGTGACATCAACAATAAACACCAATGACCCAGTGCCACTGGAAGCCATGCATGCCTATGCCATCACACTGCCTCCACCATGTTTTACAGATGACATGTGCTTTGGATCATGAGCTGTTCCAAGCATTCCTTTACCATAGAGAGGATCCACCACTGTCGTCTTCAGTGGATGTCCATGCCTTTTTATGTTGCTGAGCTCACCAGTGCATTCTTCTTTCCTCAGAATGTACCAAACTGTTGATTTGGCCACTCCTAATGTTGCTGCTATCTCTGAAGGATTTGTTTTGAATTTGAAGCCTTACAATGGCCGTTTCACTTGCATGGACAGCTCCTTTGAACGCATGATGTAGGTTCACAGCAATAGATTCCAAATGCAAATACCATACTTAGAATCAACACCAATGACCCAGTGCCACTGGAAGCCATGCCTGGAGAGTGACCTTCACTTGTCTGGATGTTGTGGATGGGTTTTCTTTTACCATAGAGAGGATTCTGCGATCATCCACCACTGTTGTCTTCCGTGGATGTCCTTTACTTTATGTTGGTGAGCTCACCAGTGCGTTCTTCTTTCTCCAAACTGTTGATTTGGCCACTCCTAATGTTGCTATCTCTCTGATGAATTTAGTTTTTGAAGCCCTGCAATGGTCTGTTTCACTTGCATGGACAGCTCCTTTGAACGCATGATGTAGGTTCACAAAAAATAGATTCCAAATACCACACTTAGAATCGCCTCCAGACCTTTTACCTGCTTAATTGATGAAGAAATAACAAAGGAGTAGCCCACACCTGGCCATAAAACAGATTTTGATTCAATTGTCCAATTACTTTTGGTCCCTTGAAAAAGGGGGATGGCTATTCTTAAGAGCTGTAATTCCTAAACCCTTCCTCCAATTTGGATGTACATACCCTCAAATTAAACCCGAGAGTGTGCACTTTCAGCCCATATCCATTATATAATTATAGCTTGAATATGTTTTGGTAAATTCCTGAAAAAAAAAATTGTGCTTGTGTCAAATATATATGGACCTAACTGTATAAGGGTAGATAATGTTTTTATTGGTACACTACTTAAATAAACCCTACTCAGTTTTTTTATTATTGGATAACAAGTGCAAAACATTTTTTTTTTTCAATTAATGTATTATTTTTAATAACCTAATTGTATCTGAAAATTACATTAATAAATAGACACCACTGCAGGTCCCACTGCAGCATGAAGGTGGCAGTATTCACCTGAAGGCTTATTTTGTTAATACAGCCTTCCGTCTGCACGTAATCATCATGTTATAGCTGATATAGTGATTATATGATCAGGAGCTACTCTGATGGGTTCCTAATTGTCATTGGAGGCCAAAGCGGTCAATGAAAGCCAGAATCTACAGCCAGCAGCTGCGCAAAATGTAGGCTGCTGGCTCTCAAATGGGAACCATTTTTATATTACACTGGACATTGTGTTGGGGAAAGTTAATAAACAGATTGAAGGGGGATCTATTTCCCCAATAGAGCTGTGATTCCTCTTCACTTCCTCTGTCTGACACTTGTCATTAGCACAGTAAACCAGAGAAAATCTTTCTCATAGGGGCACAGAAAGAAATAAAATTCTGAGAGTAGTTCTAAACCTTCCTCTACTCTACTAAAACATATGTCATCTAATAGCTGCCTGAAGCACTGGAGAGATTGGAGGAAACATTTCCTCTCATTTACTGTTCTGTTTAACACCAATTTAGGTGCACACAAACATAGTATTTTTTTTCTGCAAAATTCAATTTAGAATTAACTGTAAATAATGGTCCTAGAGACATTTCTCTCATTTCGGTGTGAAGTACTTAACAGGGGGGGGGGGGGTGGTGTATGTGTGTATTTCTGTCATATAATGCACCACTTCATCCAGAAAATTGTTGCAATTACAAATGTTTAGGCATTCTCATTTTTATTTCTTTTGTTTGTATTGGTATGACACCATAGGCAGAGAAACAAAAAGCCAAATCTGACACATTCCACACAAAACTCCAAAAATAGACTTGACAAAATTATTGGCACCCTCAATTTAATATTTGGTAGCACACCGCTTGGATAAAAATAACTGAAGTCAGTCGCTGCCTGTAACTATCAATGATTTTCTTACACCTCTCTACTGGAATTTTGGACCACTCTTTCACCAACTGCTCCAGGTATCTCAGATTGAAAGGATTCCTTTTCCCAACTGCTGTTTTCTGATCTCTCCACAGGTGTTCTATGGGATTTAGATCTGGACTCATTGCTGGCCAGTTCAGTACTCTCCAGCACTTCGTCTTAAACCATTGCTGGGCACTTTTTGATGTGTGCTTTGGGTCATTGTCCTTCGGTAAGACCCTTGACTTCTAACGGAGACCCAACTTTCTGACACTGAGCCCTACATTGCACCCCAGAATTCTTTGGTAGTTTTCAGATTTCAGAATGCCATGCACATGATCAAGACATCCAGTGCCTGAAACAGCAAAGCAGCTCCAAAACATCAGTGATCCTCCACCATGTTTGACTGTAGGGACTGTATTCTTCGCTTTAAAGGCCTCACTACTTTTTCTGAAAACAGTAGAATGATGGGCTTTACCAAAAAGCTGTAATTTTGTTTCATCTGTCCACAGCACATTCTCCCAAAAGTATTTTGGCTTCCTCAGGTAAGTTTTGGCAAACTCCAATCTGGCTTTTTTGTGTTTCAGTGTCAGCAGTGGGGTCCTCCTGGGTCTCCTACCATAGCGTCTCTTTTCATTCAGATGGTGACAAATAGTGTGAGCTGACACAGTTGTACCCTGTGCCTGAAGGTCAGCTTGAATTTGTCTGGAAGCTGACTGAGGTTCTTTAGTTACCATCAAACAATCCTTCATTGCAATTGTTGATCAATTTTTCTCTTTCATCCATGGAGATTAGCTACAGTGCCATGGACTGTAAACGTCATGACAATGTTGCGTACAGTAGAAACAGAAACATTAAGATAACCTTGAGATTGTCCATGCTTTTCTACAATTTGTGTTCTCAAATCCTCAGAAAATTCTTTGCTGCTCTCTCTCTTCTCCATGCTCCATGTGACAGAGAAACACAACAAAAAAGTTGAGTCAGTTTTTCACCATTTTAACTGGTTGCCGGTGTAAGCACCTGATAATTGATACAGGTGAGTTTAATTACAAATTACAGGAGCATCACAAACTCGGAATGCAATTATTTCTAACAATTTTGAGAAGGTGCCAATAACTTTGTCCAGTCCATTTTTGGAGTTTTGGGTGGAATGTGTCAGATTTGATTTTTATTTCTCAACTTTTACAAACAAGAGAAATAAACATGAGAATGCCTAAACATTTATAATTGCAACAATTTTATGAACGAAGTGGTACATTATCTGACAGAAATGCAGGGGTGTATCCAATATTTTTGGCCGTGTGTGTGTATTATATATACATACACATACACAGTTAGGTCCATATATATTTTGACACAGGCACAGATTTCGATTTTTTTTCAGGTATTTACCAAAACATTCAAACTATAGTTATATAATGGATATGGGCTGAAAGTGCACACTCTCAGGTTTAATTTTAGGGATATGTACATCCAAACTGGAGGAAGGGTTTAGGAATTACAGCTCTTAAGAGTAGCCATCCCTCTTTTTTCAAAGGACCAAAAGTAATTGGACAATTGAATCAAAAGCCATTTCATGACCAGGTGTGAGCTACTCCTTCGATTTTTCCTCATCAATTAAGCAGTAAAAGGTCTGGAGTTGATTCTAAGTGTGGGATCTGCATTTGGAATCTATTGCTGTGAACCTACATCATGCGTTCAAAGAAGCTGTCCATGCAAGTGAAACAGGCCATTGTAAGGCTTCAAAAATGAAACAAATCCATCAGAGAGATAGCAGCAACTTTAGGAGCAGCCAAATCAACAGTTTTGTACATTCTGAGGAAAGAAGAATGCACTGGTAAGCTCAGCAACATAAAAAGGCATGGACATCCACGGAAGACAACAGTGGTGGATGATAGCAGGATCCTCTCTATGGTAAAGGAATGCTTGGAACAGCTCATGATCCAAAGCACACAACGTCATCTGTAAAACATGGTGGAGGCAGTGTAATGGCATGGGCATGCATGGCTTAAAGTGGCACTGGGTCATTGGTGTTTATTGATGATGTGACAGAAGACAGAAGCAACTGGATGAATTCTGCAGCATTTAGAGATATACTGTCAGCCCAGATTAAGCCAAATGTAGCAAAGTTGATTGGACGGCGCTTCACAATACAGATGGACAATGATCCAAAACACACTCCAAAAGCAACCCAGGAGCTGTTGAAGGAAACGAAGTGGAATATTCTGCAATGGCCGAGTCAATCACCTGATCTCAACCCAATTGAGCATACATTTCACTTGCTAAAGGCAAAACTAATGGAAGAAAGACTCACAAACAAACAATAAGTGAAGACAGCTGCAGTTAAAGCCTGGCAAAGCATCAGAAAGGAGGAAGCCCAGTCATTCATAATGTCCACAGGTTCCAGACTTCAGGCAGCCATTGCCAGTAAAGGATTCTCATCAAAATATTAAAAATGAACATTTTATTTATGACTATGTTCAATTGTCCAATTACTTTTGGTCCCTTGAAAAAGGGGGATGGCTATTCTTAAGAGCTGTAATTCCTAAACCCTTCCTCCAATTTGGATGTACATACCCTCAAATTAAACATGAGAGTGTGCACTTTCAGCCCATATCCATTATATAACTATAGCTTGAATATGTTTTGGTAAATACCTAAAAAAAAAACTAAAAATTGTGCTTGTGTCAAATATATATGGACCTAACTGTATAAGGGTAGATAAGGTTTTTATTGGTACACTGGTTAAATAAACCCTACTCTAATTTTTTTTTATTATTGGATAACAAAAATTAAAATTGTGCCTGTGTCCAAATATATATGGACCTAACTGTATGTGTGTGTGTATATATATATATTTCTTAGATGAAATCATGAAGCTTTTAATACTTTCCATTGGATTATTGGCTTTTGAGGAGTTCATGTAAGCAGAAAAGATTTTAATTTTTGATTGTGTAGTTTTGATTTTGTAATCTTGATGTTACTTTTTTTGGGGGGGGTTTTCATCATTATCATACTAATTGGATAATAATGACATGGGAGATATCTGTATTTCTTTTGCTCTATTTAGTATGTTCCACACATAGCCGACATTCACACATGGCTTGAGGAAGAGAATGGTTGCTTCAAACTATACAGGTGTTAATATTGTGATGGTGTATCAATCAAGAAGTAAATCATTATTAGATTAGCAGCGAGGTCTCATCCGCACTGTTTCTAAACAAACAGTACAGACAGTTTTCATTTTGTTTACTTTCCTGGCTGCAGGTAGCCAGTATCTGACAGCTATTAACCTGGAAGTGTTTCAAGATAAAAAAACAACACAACAACAACAGTATGTTCACCGATCCTCCAACATTTGCCATCTTGCAGATCCTGACCTCTTTGGCATTAACCCCGAATAAACCCCAGATGTCACTATAAAGAAGACTTGCCACTCAATAATACAACATATGGGGCTTATCATTCTCTTGTGATAGTAAAAAATAAAATAACATAAAAACAGCAAAGCTGAAGAAAGTACACAGAAAATTAAGAGACCCACACCTCTGCTTACATATACTTAGGTAAACATGCATACACCCAGGATGCACGTGCATACATAAACAACTGCTAACATGTTGGTTATCGCTGTGCATGCCAGAGTGGAAGGAATAACTAGGGCGGCCATTATTCACCGTTAACTCTAAAATTATGGGCTGTAAAGGATTTTATAGCATCGCCTATGGATCATGTGGAGTATTTTCCTGCTATTTCACATGCACATTTAAGGCTTTATATATTTGGTACCCATTTTTGGGGCACAGTCTCATCTTTTAAATGTTGCAAAAAATGTGAATTATATTGTGTTTGTGCGCTTAGAAAAGGAATTTGAAAATATGGGTTTAAAAATAGTTGCACAACTATCATGTCACATAAAATTGTGCAACGTTTTTGTGATTTTCAGGCTTACAATGCACATTTTAACATCTGTCGAAAAAAAATAATTAAATTTGTTTCTATGTTTTTCTCGTAAGGGTGGGGATAAAGGGGTTAAGTCACAGGCCAGATGACATTTTCCCACCATAAAGCCAAGGGAGCCATAGTAGAGAAAAGACATGATGGTTTCAGAGTGTTTAAAAAAGAGGGACCTGTCCTGTTTTCTCCTAATACTGGATAATCATGTCTGAGTAGTCATATTGCTTTATTGTAAACCATTTACCTTCAGCACTTGAATCAAGAGAGAAGTCCTGGCTTTGAAGAATTGTTTCCACTACATCATCTGCATCAACACGGGTGGCATCTACACGTTTTAACTGTGACTCAACAGAGTCTTGTTTAACTGGGATCCTACATAAAAAGAAAAAAAGAAAAATGTTGTAGTGAAGATCTTTTTAAAAGTACATGTAAACCCCAACCAGATGACATTTCATTTGCTAAAGCATTGTATATCAAACAGTGGCCTAGAATTCTGCTGTGCAGAAAATTAACTACATGTGTCTGTATATTTTGATGGTTTAATAGATGTGGCCATCATATGATGTTTGAAGGGTGAACACTGAATACCTTTGCCTGCTTGTCTGTGATTGCAAGCATGAGCCACCCTTATGTTCCTGTTTGGGCTGTTTCCTTAATGAAGCTGGTGCACAGCAGTAAAACTTACATTAGTAGTTTTTTTTCCCATTTTAGATATTAATTACATTTATCTCTATATTCCTTACCTGGGATTGTAAAACCTTTTTGGAGCAGATGAAAATGTGTCAGTTCTTTCTGTAGTTTGATAAGATCTGTAAATGTATTATTTTCAGAAATGTAAATGTATTATTTTCAGAAATGTAAATGTATTACATTGTTCATTCTAGAACAGTGGTGGTCAACTTTCTTGATATAGGGAGGCTGAAGTGTGGTCCTTTGAATCACCAAAGGCCAGCACATAAAATTCAGTGACTATTCATTGTTGGAGAGAGTAAACACACAACAGGATAAACTCAAAAACTATGGGCAAGATACAAGAGATGGTCAGAGATTGCAAACAGGACAGGAAATGGTCAGAGAATAAAGACATGGTACATACAGGAGATGGTCAGACTGCAGACAGGATACAAGAGACTACAGACATGGTACAGGATATGATCAGAGATTGCAGACATGATACAATAGACTACAGGCATGGCACAGGTTATGGTCAGAGACTGCAGACATGATACAGGAGAGGATCAGAGGCTGCAGATGTGATACAGGAAAGAGTCAGAGACTTCAGGCATGATACAGGACAGGATCAGAGACTGCAGACCTCATATATGAGATGTTTAGAGACTGCAGACATGATACAAGAGATGGTCAGAGACTGTAAAGATACTACAGGAGTTGTTGGAGACTGGGAACATGCTTCAGTCATGGAGTTGACCTACTGCATGAAACTTCTAGAAATCACTGCTATGCCAGGGAAATATGAAGTATCTGCAGGGAACCCAAGGGCAGCATCAAAGATGCCAAAGGGTTGCATGTGGCACCTTGGTTGCAGGTTGGTCACCAGGGTTCTGCAACATGTTGTGCTGACATGCACTACAGACACAGTGCCTTGAAAAAGCCTGGTACACACTAGCAGTTTATTTTCGTTCAACCCAGTGGGCTGAACAAAAGAAAATTGCAGAGCCCAGGAGGAGCCACTGTGCTAACAATCCGATGTTGGTACAGCAATCTCCCCTGCTGAGCTATTATGTTCTGACAGAGGGAGGCCCCCACACAAAAACACTCTAGTCCAACGCTCGCAGCCACAGGTTGAGAGCGCTGATTGGATGCTGATCGACAGACCTTTTTTGGTCATGCCCCTTCGACAAAAGCAGGCCAAACCAGCCGCTGTACTCAAGGTCTGAATGTTGGCCGGTTTTTATTGAACCGGTCAATGCCGGTCGACATTTGGCCCATGTGTACTAGGCTTTAGTTACAGTTCCTTGAAAAAGTATTCATACCTCTTGAAATGTTCCACATTTTATCATGTTACAACCAAAAACGTAAATTTATTTTATTAGGATTTTATGTGATAGACCAACACAAAGTGGCACATAACTGTGAAGTGGAAGGAAAATGATAAATGGTATTCAAAATTTTTTTCAAAAGAGGCACTGTAACTAAAGTATAGTACACAAGGGTCAAATGTCGGGCGGCATTGACCGGTTCAATAAAAACCGGCCAACATTATGCCCGTGAGACTCCATGTCTAAACTGACATGAATGGCAAAATGTTTCCCAATGCACTGCAAAACAACCCATTGTTGGGATCAGGCTCTACTGAAAACAATATACATGACAACAAATATGGTTTGAATAAACCAAAAGAATTCATGATCTGTTTAACAACTGGACTGTATATGGGCAGTTCCAGTATTATCATTTCTCTTTTATTTCATTTCTATACATAACTTCTAGAATTCTAAATACCTGCTTAGTTTTTCAGAAGATGAGCCCTCCTCTGTAATTTCCGGGCTGAATGCAACAACTTTGTCATCCTCATTTGGCTCTGGAATACTCCCAATCCCGGTAGAAGCACTGCCCACAGATGTGTTCCTCCGGTGGCTTAACTCTGATAGACTGGAAGACCGTGAATGCCCTGTGCTGTATCCTGAAGAAAAAACAACACCACATTATACTATGTCCTCTGGATGAAGAAAATTCTACATCCTGCCTTTTTTCATTACATCAGCTTAATACGCACATCCTAAAAGGAGTTACAGTGTCACTAAACCCACAACAGTAAAATCAGTCTGTATTTGCAGTAAAGAACGCTTGTTATACGCACTGTGAAATCTAAGGAGTAAATCCTCTGCATTATGTAAAAAGGCTGTTTGATCCTGTGTTTTCTGATCCTCCCCTTCTTCCACAGTCCCCAATCCATCTGCTGACAGTACAGAGCCCTAGGAGGCACTCTACACATGCTCAGTTTGGTGTGTATTGCTAAAGAGTCTTTTTTTTGGCAGGGTGCATGTGATGCACAGGGCCAATCAGCACTGTCCAGAGGGTTAGAAGTCATGCTACCTCATTGGACAGTCAAGAGGAAAATGAAAACTCCTCTTACAAGCTTTAACCAGTGCTTAGCCAGATACAGAAAAAAGTCATAAAGCTGCTATATACTGCTGATGAAGAAAGGTATTTAGCAATTTATATTTATTAAATAAAATAAAAAAAATTCCCAGGGTACAGTGGAAGACCATATATAGTGAATGCAGGGTCCTGGGTTTAGTAAAATCCTTAAGGCTCACTGAAAAAGTAATGTTAATAAATGAGATGAATCTGTGTTAATTTTTTAAATACCCAGTCATGTCTGAGGGATGTTAAAAACCAAGATTTTTACAAGCACATTTATGAAAGGAAAGTGAACACATAATCATCACTTTGCTATGTTAACAGCCCCTACTACTACTGTAGTCAATCAACCCCAGTATCTCAGATGCAATCTAACAGATGTAACAATGCTGCGTTGAGGATAGATATAAATATGTTGGCCATAAATAAAGAAAATACAACTAATTTAATTATCTTCAAATGGTAAGTGGCAAGCATCATCAAGGAGCACAAAAAGGAAAGAAAAATCCAATTATGTAGGCAAAAAACCACAAACCAAAACAGAAAAGGGCAAAATGTGAGACACTAATGACTTCCATTGATTTAATGATACATCATTTAACACCTCTGTTAAAATACAATTGCTTTATGGTACATCACAGGATACAGAGAAGGCTATAAACATAACTATCTGGGTTATGCACCATCTATAGGTGAATGGACACTGGCAGACCAAAACAGACAGAAGTCCTCCCCCGTATAACCTCTTCTACACAGGAAGTCCCTCAGCTTTTTTGCCAGTGCCTTGAAGGTGATGGTCACTGAAGTTAAACTCTCTGTAAGAGTACTACCAGTCTCAAAAGGTTCTAATAAGGAATCCAGGGACTGCATAATTGGATCCATTTGGATGGCTGGATGCGAAAATGGATGGTACCTGACCCTGTTGAGAAGATGGAGGACACAAGGATTTCCTGCAATGCGACCGTATGGCACTAGATCGTACATTGCGAAATCCTGTGCAGTTATCTGACCAAGGTGTTTTCTGGCAGGGTGCTATACAAGTCCAAGGCACAGGCCACAGGAAAAGATAAGGGGACCGAGTCCTTGAGGGCCTTTTATGACAAAGCCCCCCGTGATGGGTGAAGACTGGATTTTTTTGTCTAAGTACAAAATGTGGTGAGATTGAGGAGTTTGCTCCTGCTTCTTTTTTTCTTCAAAAAAAGGGGAGAAAAGAACAAAGGAGAAAATATATATTGTTTATTATGTGTAGTAGAGGGGCAAGCTGTTGAAGCATATAGCTCTCATATATACCTAGGGCAGCCCATGGTTACAACAGCACAGAACCTGTTCACAGTCTTGGCCATAAGAGGGCAGCAGAGGAGCCAGCTTTGTGTTTTGGAGAGTGGAAGAGAGCAGATACAAGGAACTAGGACTCTCCTGGATGGCTGAAAGGTTTCTTAAATATATACTATATGCGGTTTTAAAGATATTGGCAATGTAAGCAGTACTATTAAAGCTTTAAAGATTTTAGTGTTTGGCAGTATTACACTATTTCTGTTCCTTATATATGGGTATCTGGATGGAGTACACTGTGGGAAGACATCTGGAGTGCTAGTATGGATGGACCTAGGTGGTGTGATGAAGTCATGGTAATCCTTTGGATATCTGCAGGAGGGCTTATTCCATTGTGTAACTCTTGGATTAACATTAAGGCAAGATTTATTGGCGATATTGGTAAGGGTACCCACTCCTTACTTTAAATAGAAGTGCACACCGTGTTGTGTGATTTGTGGCACTGAAGAGTGATTCACATACACGTTTTTCACCATATTAATTTTTTTTTTCTCACTTGTGTGATTATCACCAGAGTGACCTCACGTTATTATTATTTGCTAAAGGATAATGCACTATGTATTGTTTTTATTTTTTTTTTGAGGTAATCCAGCCTGTGCAAGTCGTTGGGAGACTCTATACACTTGGACTTAATTTTGGATGCATTAATTTATTTCACAAGAGGGACATTTGATTTATTTGTGTGGTATATATTATTATCATCACCTTGGGATTTTAATTTTTCTTTTTGGACTTTAATTGGAATTTATTATGTTTGTGATTTAGGGTAGGGGGATTGTATATTTTATATTTATAATTGATTATTTATTTGGCATATTTACTTTAATATTGTTTGCATCTCCAAGGGTGGAGTTGGAGTTTATGCTTTAAGGGGATTGAGTATTGAGTATTTTAGGTATTGGTAGTGATTTATCTATCTATAATATTCCAGCCTGTTTTACGTTTGCTAAATTTGACAGTTTGGCTATTGAAGCCCAGATCTTGAAGGGATGAGGGGATTTCAGGCACAGTGGTCTCCACAAAGGAACATCTATTACAGGGTGTGGAAATCTTACATTTCCTGGTGTGAGGCCAGAAAATGGCATCCCATGAAATATGTAATTGGAGGAATTCTCTCCTTTCTCCAGTCAGGAGTGGAGATGAAGTTGGCCTTAGGAACCATTGAAGGTCAGATTTCAGCTTTGTCCATTTTGCGTGCCATCAGTTACTGCTCTTTGGACCACTATACTGAATAAGTAAAAAAGCTGAACAATATTAGGTAGATATGCAATCCATTCATAAATCTATCTAAAACAGAGCAGTTTGATTCTCCCATATTAGAATATATTTTCTGTTTTAGATTTTTGTTTGAGATTTTTACTTTGCATGTGTTACACAATTAGGCCTCATGCACACTAGCTTATTGTAAACACGTTTTCTCATGACAGGAGAAAATCAGTGTTAAAAATGCACCTAAACTGTGTTTAGGTGCGTTTAGACGCAGTCAGGCACGTTTGGCATTTGGGCATTTATTTAATTGTCCAGAATTTTCATTTATTCTGGCCATCGAAATGAATGAACTTAAGCAGGTTTAGACACGTTTAGCAGTACCCACAATAAATGCTCAAGTGTCCCCACTCAGGCTGTCAAAATTCAATAAGTTGGATGCTGCTGACTAGTAAGGGTGCACGCTGAGGAAAGATCTGGATGAATCAAGCTGAGGATGCTTTTACCTGCTAACCACATGGCCTGGGTGAGGTTTGCGACGGCCAAACTTTTTCTTCCTAGACACATTTAGCAGTTTTTTATGCCCAATAGCTCCTCTCCTGAATACGATTCTTCTGCGTTCAGGGAAGGAGCTTTGATTGCCTCTAACCGCTGCTGCTCTTAAACTCCTCTAAAAGACCATGTGTGCAAAGACACAGAATTATATGTTGAGGTACGTTCAGGGGCTTAGGCAAAAAAACGTCAAAAGCCCCAAAAACATTAGTTTAGGAGCAGCAGTGTGTATGAACCCTTAGAGAATACTGATAGAACAATAAAATTACTTTTTTTTGCAAAGCAAAAATGTTTATAAATATCTGTCTTACAGACAAAGTGCTCCAAAGTATAGACTGTTACTGTTACTGTATGACCACTTAATAGAGTATATGGAGGCAAGGTCACATCTGAGAATAATTAGTGCAAGGTCTATATTGGGTGAGATGAGATGGATATTTTTCCAAGGAAAAAGTAAGGAGGGTGGGAAATCAGTTAAGTTTAGAAGAAGAGTAGTGGAACAAGAAAAACAGCAAGAAAAAGGGAAAAGCAAAGAGACAAAAAAAAAAAGAAGAGAGTGAGAAGGCAGCTGAAGGAATCCAGATGCCTGGGGGACAATGGGAGTGGCCCCTGCTATCCCATTTGTAATCCAATTCTATGTGGTTAGAAATCATCATAATGATAAAATAGAATGGTGAAAATTTGTTGGCAAAGATTAGGTAATCCTGTGGTTCCAAATACTGTGAAATTTGGGAAACTTATCAGATTCTATTGCTTTCAACTCCATGTAGTATATGTGGTGGTTTATTAAGATTGGCATTCAGCAAAAAGAATGGATAGTTCTTTCAAGCTTTGACAGGTTTGCTTTGTCTACTGTCAAGATAGGATAGATAGGATAATTTGTTTTTTGTTCAGCCTATTAAATTCTGGTTATGCATTGCTTCTCTAGATAGATTTCTTTTTTTTAGTAGGTTCAAGATAAGAACCATTTGCATTTCTGAACACTTTTACTAGGTGTTTGTCGTGACATAACCTCTTAAGTAATAAGGGAATATCCCAGTACACAACCTGAAATACATGCAGAGAGAAGGTACCATCTCATTAGTAATTTATAGTTGGTTGTGACAGATGAGTCACTGATTGAACATTTTGCTGCTGAGGGCCAAATTTCCCTCCATTCTTCAACTTTAATACAGTATGTTTAACAGCCGAAGAGTAAACTTTTTACATTATGTTTTTATTACTTTTTTTATGTTTTGGGTGGGGTTATTTCATGAGGCAACTTGATTTTGAAAGTTAAAATTTTGTTAACTAGAAACAATATTTATGAATTTCAAATGTATAGAAGTTTAACAGGTTCACAAATATGAAACAGGTCTAGAATGTCTTGCAGTTCTTTGCTTACAAACAGAGCAGAGCTGTTCAGACAACACAAATAGTTTTCCCATTCGGAATTTGCTTTGTCTTTGAAATCTAATTCCTAAATGTAAATGACAGCCTACTACCCTACAAACACACCCCTCCAACATTCACACAAAGCCAATTTTAGAGACCTTCCTTTCTAAATGGCACTCATACATGTGATTTACCATATGAGAAGTCTGTGCTTAACCTCTTCTACTGCTAACATACCCATTTGTGGACCATCAACTTTTCAATAGATATCTATTTGAATATTAAACAGCTAGTTGAAATTGTACAGCCCATTGCACAACAGCTTTTACTGCCCCCACACCATATGTACATTTGACAGTCAACCCACAGCTAATATCTGAGGGATTTGGTCATCTCTGTTGGTGCCCAATTCAACTGTAGACTGTGCAGTCAACAACTGAGAAGTTGAAGTGTCACGTTTCCAAACTGGTTATGTATGGGCATTGTAAACCTCTGATTTGCATAACAAATCTAACAGGAAGAAAGGGTTGTAGAAAAAGCAGAAATGTCATATATATTTTTTACATTATTAGGACTAACACTATATACATAGAGGTCCATTTATAAAAGCTTTGCCATGCACCTCTCTCTACTTCCGGAATCAATATCAAATGCCAAGAAAGTTCTCCTTGGTTTTTTTCTTTTAGACCCTAGAACGGTAATGCGCAGACACTGGAGAACTAACTGCCCTCCTATTATCAAGCAACGGGTTACCAAACTTGCCTATGTGCAATACATGGAGGTACTGACAACCAGACTTCATGGTAAATTTGGCCAATCTGGAGCTTTTGGATTCACTACAGGAGCACTGACTGCTTCAGAAGCCAAATGTAATGCCGCAAACTACTAGCCAATAGAATAGACTTGGATGTCACCCTTCTCAGTGCCTACCCAACACTCTCTTCTACCCTTTCCCTCCTCCCATTGTTCTATCTCCCCACATTTATCAATATTGCTCCTTATACTCTTTCTAACTAGATCCCTGCCAAATCCATTCATTAGGAAAAGGTATTCAGGCATTCTGTGATCTATTTACACATATTTACCTACTTAACTACATGGCTTTCATGGGGATAAATACATAGGGTGGGTCTATATTGAAGGACCCTTGCCTCATTAACAAGGTTGGTAAGGTCCTTTCCTCACTGATTGTGTATACAATTTACTGCCAAATTCTTGTGACTAAAGACTTGCATACCCAGGCCGAATATCGGGCAGAATCGGTCAGTTCAACAGAAATTGGCCAACATTCGGCCCATTTGTACAGCAGCCGGTCCAGCTTCTGTGTAAGGGGCATGACTGAAAAAGGCCTGCCGAATGGCTTCCGATCAGCGCTCACAGCCAATGATTGAGAGCACTGACCGGTGTGTTCTGCTGGGGGGGAGGGGGGCAATTCCCCTGTCAGAACACAATAGCACACTTGTGTTAGTACAATGATCTGTTGGTTTTTTTTGTTCAGCCCACTGGGTTGAACGAAAAAAAAAAAAAAAAAAAAAAAAAAATGATAGTGTGTACGGGGTGTAACTCCAATTTTCTGTACTGTCTCTGTACCTTGCATCGTACTAAAATTGTACAATAAACTCTTTACTACTATTTTAACAAAATGCTGTGAAAATCCATCAGCATTTCTGCAGAAGCTGCAAATAATACCCTTGAAAATGTTTTTAACATGTGTGAAAAAAGTATTCCCGAACAGGAAATAGTCTAAAAACATTTGGCCAGAAGAGAAAATAGCCTAAAAATACTGACTCAGAAGAGAAATATCCAAAGGCTGGCCAAACATTAAGCAATTTTCAATTTCCACAGGTTGAAGAAAAATTGCTTGATTCCCCCATAAACACATTCAGTGTGGATGGGGGAATCCCTCCCACTGTGCTATTGTATTCTGACAGCAAAAAAAACCTGACAGGCTAGTTGTACTGAAGTCGATTGATAGATCCACTTCAGAACAATCAGCCTGTCCATAGACGGCTTAAAAGAACAAACTAGAATAGAAAATACTTTAATATCTAATTTTGCCACAACAGCCACAGCTTTATACATTGTGCAAAAAGTCCCTAAAACTAATGAGTGAATGCTGAATAATTTGCACAGAACACATTGCATATGGAGCTTTGCTTGATGAATGGCTAAACATATTGGTAAATAGACCTCATAGTGTGAGTCCTGAATCAGATAATGTAATGCAGGCCATAGACGGCTCTCAAAAACCTTGCGTTTTTTCAACCGATAAACAAAAAAAATTGGTTGTTCGTTAAACCGCTGTAACCACCAACGATTACGAAAATCGGCCGACCAAGTTATAAAGTTCACCCCATATAACAGGCAAAACTTCTGTTCCTTCCAGGTCACGGCTCATGCGCGTATTTTTTTTCATAAAAATGATCGTACGATTTGGTCATCAATGTGAAAAAAGTCGGTCGTTTTCCACGAATTTTCCAACATGACCGATAATCCGAAAGTGGAAAAAAAAAACGAGAAAACCGGCCGACGAATTAACCCACTAGCAGTGCGAAAATCAGCCGATTAATCTTTTGGACAAAAATTCGGCTGATTTTCAAACCGTCTATGGCCGGCATAAAGGGATGCACTAGAGGTGATATGTGGAACTAGAGACTTGTAAAAAAGATTCAGATAACCTGTGACTCTTAAATAGAGACAAGCCTAAAGAATGTTTGCTTTGCAGATTTGCAGTCAGCATTTTAGCCAAAGTAGTATGTAAACTAGGGTGTTACTGGGAATACAGGAAGAGCAAGACACCTTTATCCTCATTGAAAGCTTTGGCAAACATGACTGTACAGGAGAGGTATCCGAGATAAAAGATCCTATTGTAATGCACAGGTTATAACCTTTACACAGCATGGTAGTTAGTATTATCCCTCCTGCATCAGAAATCAGATTAGGCTGGGAGTTCCACAGTCAGGATCCTCAATTCCTGTTGGTGAAACATGGTTTTGAAAAAATGGCACCATAGCCTCTGGTAATAACGTATAATAATAGTATCACTTCAACACACTGGTAGCATTGCACCACTGTAGCTGCATGGCATAACCTTTAGAACAGTATAAATGATAATCCTGCCACTGTTCATGGCTCTGTAATATGGGATGTACATTGATTCAGAAAGCAGGCACCACTCTAATTTTAATATCGGGAAAATCATAGTGCCAGGCAGGTATGCTGTACTCAATTAAGCATGGGCTGCTATGTAATCTAGGTCTGGCCTTGTTCCTAACAACGTCTACAAAGGAATAAACTGAGCACTTGGCAAGTGCTTATGAAACAGCAAATACTAGATTCTTCCTATATACAAATACCAGGTAATGAGTTGCTCTTGAAGTAAAGTAATGAGTCCTAAAAAACTTGTTGATTTTAAAAGTTGCGTAATCAGAAGTGGATTTTTGAAATTCTCCGACACCCATCCTCAGAAGGGTCATTCTTCACATTCCACTGCATTTAATGCTAAGTAAGCTAGAGGATAACTGCAAATTGTATTAAAAAAAAAAAAAACATTCTATGATCATATGCTTCATTTCAGTGCCCCAACCCTTTGCCCTCCAAGAATATTTATATTAAAATTTATAAAAGTATCTATCTGCCTTTTAACATTACACATACTGATGGTATGTACACTCAATCCATGATAATGGTAAGAGCCCTGGTCATTAAAAAGACCGCACAGAACACAAAAGCTCTCAGCCGGTGATCAATGTTACCTGGTAGGCAATATTACCCAAAAACTGCTCAAACAGAAGCCATTTCTCTCCCCTGACTTTAACTTTGGTGAATATTAACCATTTTAATGTAAGAGTATCTCAAAACATTTCCATAGTATTTGACAAGTACATGTATACCTGTATAGCATGTCCTTAAAGGATAATTTCACTTTTGCAACAAGAAGCTTCATGAATGAAAAGTAAGTCCTCAGATACAGACTTCTTTGGATATCTACTATTGTATTAATTGCCAGGCAGCATTCTAATATTTCCATGAGCTGGTGCCTCTCATTACTTTTCATGTTCATGTGGCAGCCATAGAGAACAGCATAACTGAACATGCATATGGACTGGTTATCAAGATGAACATATTTTTCTGCTCAGGAGAATGGGAAATTCATTGTTCTCTCTTGCATCTATGCAGAGGTACCAGGGCCTGGAGGGAATGGAGTGCCTATTGGCTGTGAGCAGGCTGCAGCACACTACTTTTTGATCGTATAATTTATACTTCCTGGCAGCAGTCATTTTTTATTGTTATTGCAGCATAGAGTTTATTCTTTCCCACAACTCTGAGCATTTATCTGTAGGAGTTTTCTAAAACGGTCCACCTCAAAAGAGACAATATCTATTCCCTTAGTCCAGAATACTGTATATCATATTTGTACCTGACGCCTTGGACTGCTGACTGGCATAACTTGAGGTCCTGGAATGTCCACATGCTCCCAGTTCATCAGGGACAGAAGCACTCTTTGATGAAAGGTCTGAGAATGAAAGAAATGTCAATTTCTAGATTGATATATGAAATACTATAAAAATAGTACACTGAAATGTACTATTCTATATGTTAATAAAGATGTTCACTTTGTGTGTACCAATAAAAAGTAAAAAAAAAATCAATTTTATATTTCTTACCAGCAACTCCCAGATGCAGTTTCACAGTCTCACGCCCTTTTCGGTCTTCCTGCAGAGAGTCTGAATCTCCAGAAACCACAATTGATGTGGCAGTGGAAGGTGGTCTGAAAACAAAACACTATGATAACAGCTGCAAGGTAGATCATCCTGACACTGACACATGGGTTAAGCATTAGCATACTGCTTGTACTATCAAACCCTGGGCATACTTAATAAACATTGCACTGTAAAAAATATTGCACAAGAAAAAAAAAAAAAATAGCTTCAGTGATCGGCAGATCCAGACACACACACACACACACACACACTGGGATAATGCTTTTCCTTTTGTAGGTGTAAATTAACCCATCTATTTGGGTTAACTAAACCCAGGACCCTGCATTCACTATATCTGGTCTCCCACAGGGCACACAACATGGAAATGCAATTATTTTAGTAAATATGAACTGCTAAATACCTTTTCTGATCACCAGTTAGAGCAGTCTTGTGACTTCAGCAGAGCACTGGTTAAAGCTTGGATGAGGAGTTTTTTTTTTTCTGCTCTAGGAGGATGCAAAACCCCTAACCCTCTGTCTGGACAGTGCTGATTGGCCCTGCGGTGATCACATGCACTCTCCCAAGAAAACAAAAACCTCTCTAGCAATACACACCCAACTGAGCATGTGACTACAGATTCGGTCTGTATCAAGTGGTCATTTCAACAAGAGAAGGAGCAGAAAAGAAAGGATCAAACAGCCTTTTTACACAATGCAGAGGATTAACCCCTTAGGTTCCACAGTGAGTATAACAAGCTTGCTTTACTGCATATACAGACTGATTTTACGGTCCTGGGTTTAGTAACACTTTAACTGTTTCTCAAAACAGAAATCGCAAAATAAAAATAAACGAGCGCTGGGTTAATAATGGTAAAAAGGATAGCTGCCAGCATAAAGAGGGAAATCTCCAAAACCTCTAGTAGTATTGTATGTGAGTATAAAATATGCAGCGCTAAAGGACAATGTATATTCGCAAATGACCGTGATCATAAATAATAAAATAAACTTATATAAAACAAAGTTCTGGTGGCGTTTACCAATGCTGATGAGTATATAGAACAGTCTCATGCGTGAATCCTAAGAAGGTGCATATAGTGACAATTGTGATAAAGTCAATCAAGCCATATGGTGTAAAACTCTGACTCCTGAGGCTGTGGAAAGTGGATATATAATGCACACACACTTTGTGTACACGAAACGCGTTAGGGAGGTGCCCCTAACCATTACTAGCACACCGCACGGCCCTTAAGGATGGCCAGCGGCCATCTTGGATTTTTAATGTAAGTGTTATGTTCATTTGCCTTTGATGTCATTTTTCATTTTGAGTAATAAAATTACTACACCATCGGAGCCTTTTTTCTCTTGGGCTGGCTTTGTTCCTGCGAGCCGCCCCCCCCTTTTTGAAGGTGTTTCCTGACCTGAGGTATACATATGTGCATGATCCCCCTGGTGGCTGAGACTTGTACTGCTGGAGACTGGTTAACCTGTCCTGGATGTATGACACCTGGTGGTTGCTTCTGCCCTGATGACTTCATCCGTTTGCAGTGTTTCCAGATCCTGAGCACCTAGAAGTAGGTTTTATATACTCCAATGCACAAGTGATTGCGCTATCTGGTTAGTGCATTATATATCCACTTTCCACAGCCACAAGAGCCACGGACTTTTACACCATATGGCTTGATTGACTTTATCAAAATTGTCACTATATGCACCTTCCAAGGATTCACGCATGAGACTGTTCTATATACTCTTCAGCGTTGTTAAACGCCACCAGAACTTTGTTTTATATAAGTTTATTTTATTATTTATGATCACAGTCATTTGCAAATATACATTGTCCTTTAGTGCGGTTTCCCAAAAAACAGTTACATTCAAGGTGATTGAAAACTGTGTTGCGCTCACCTGAACTGTCAAGCCATCATATGGCTGGTGTCATAACTGATCACATGTGCAACTACAGATCATATTGAAGATTAAGATGTCAGCTTCCCCAGCTGTAAACTAAGGGAGGGTTTAATTTGCTTTCTTTAAGTTGATCGTGGTCTCCCCCCTCTAAAACGCCTGAGGCAGCCTCACCAGCCAACAGGGAGACATGCCTAGAACTTTGGAACTACTGATGGTCTTGACATGCATTATTAACCTTTGCTGTCATTTAACAATTTTCAAATTTTTTATCATTTTTACCATTCTTAGGTGTTCCAAATGAATAAACCTTCTTTCCCCCCCCCCCCCCTCTTAAACATACACACTGTGCAGAAATTTTTATTAAAAACCTACTGCTGCAAAACAAAAAAATTATTTGCAGGTAAATGTTGCCAAACCTATTACCAAATGATTAAGAACATCCAGTATTTCTAACAAATCAAAATAATAAAAAGTAAAGTAAATCAGTTTCTGGCTGACTGACAATATTTCTGAAAATGAATTTTAGCATAAATATAGGGCCCTATTTATAAAAAGTACTTTAACATGCTCCTAATTTAGCAACTAACATCTTGTGAAATATTATCTGAGCTACTAGTTTGTTGAGAGAGAGAAGACACAATGCCAACATTACAGAAAGGTGACTACCCACCCCCGTTGCTCTTAGCATTTTGTACAAATTAGGTAATCTAATGGTATAATATTTTTTATATTATTAAAGGCTCATTGGCAACTATACACTTCAGCATTTCCCCCAATCACAGGCATGGTGTACATTTACTATTTCAGTAGAAACCTTTTACAGCAACCCCTGCCTAGGCAATCGACAGACTATAGTATTGATGTACTAAAACTGGAGAGGGCAAAATCTGGTGCAGCTGTGCATGGTAGTCAATTAGCTTCTAAGGCTGGCCATACACTATACAATTTTCTGTCCAATTTCTGCCCAATTTCTTTTAGATTTACCTTCAACTATGTAGTGCAAGAGCCTGCCTGATTGGATACAACTGCAAGTGTTGTTTAGGTTTAACCTCATATTACATGTTTTTTGGTAAATCTAAAGCAAAAATCTCAAGAAAATGGTATAATGTATGGCTTATTCGACTAGGTTTGACAAAAAAACCTGGAAGACGATTGGTTTCTATGCAGAGCTGCACCAGATTTTGCACTCTCCAATATCAGTAAGGGCCAATTCACACTGACTGTATAGAAAATGGATGTACATTTCGATCCATTTTAGTAATGCGCTTACATCCATTGGCATACATTTTGACGTCCGTTGACATACATTTTTGATGTTCATTGACATGCATTTTATTGTGTGCATTAACGTGTGCTGCATTTTCACAGGATATCCTGTGCATTGTGTTGACATCCGCTTACATCCATTGCATTACGCTAAAATGCGTACATATTGCTTTTAGCACAATGCAGGTCAATGCAGCATTATGGTGTGAATAGGACACAAAGGAAATTATTTTTTTTCAGATCTCCTTCAGTTGATCTGCATTTTACAGCTGTGCTAAAATGCAGATCAGCACCCATGTGTGAATTGGCCCTAAATCAACCCTTATGAGTCTTCCAAGCAACTGCTGCTTATAGGAGGACAAGGCATAGGTTAAAGCTCAAGCAGCACATAGTACATAACAAACCCCTCCAGAAAAAGCATCCCCTAGATAAATGAATTCTGATGAACTAGAAAGGTATTAGTGAAGCTAAAACACAAACAAAACATTGAACAAGCAGAAGAAAAAAAAAAAAAAAAAAAAAAAAAAAAACTTACGTTTTAAAGCAGGGGTCCCCAGACATGAGCTGCATGCTGATTCCAACCTTCAGAAAGAGAACAGATAATCTAAATATACATGGCGGTACAAGTACAATCTTCAAGGGCTTAAGGGGACACTGTTCACTCCTTAAGCTGGCTCATACATTCTACAATTTTCTTATTCAACTTCCTTTAGATTTACCATCAACTATGTAGTGCAAGGGCCTACCTGACTGCATACAAATTGAAAGTGTTTACGTTTGCCCTCATATTATAAGGTTTTGGTAAATCTAAAGGAAACTTGTACATGAAAATTGTACAATGTATGGGCCAGCCTAAATGTATCTAGTTCTGCCTTGCCAGATCAGGAAAGACAGGAACAAAAACAATACCCTGATGTAGCTATGGGCTGAGCTACTGACATTTCCAAATATTTATTTATCCCACTTTTATTGGTATCAGGGCACCTTATTACTGGGCTGACAAAGAGCTTTCATGCCTAACACCGATAATTTAATTTTAAGTATATGAATATAATCACTGACTTCTTATATCTGTTTAAGCATCCAATTCAGGCCACACATACAAATTCATCTTTCAACTCCAATCTTAGTTGAATCTAAAGGCTTCTGCTTTCTTTTTTAATAATTTTATGTCAACTAGATGAAACGTTATTACAAAAAAAGGGAAATGTAAGAACTTAAAAGATGTTTTTTTTTTTACCCTCAGGAAAAGCGACTCAACTCAAAATGAAGTATAAAAACACATTGGAGTTTATTACAAAAAAAATCATTAAAGTTTAGGGATCTACCCATAAAAACAGTGAAGTGGATATTACATACAACAAATTCAGTATAGTGAACCCCAAAACACCATGAACCTCTACATGATATATATGAGTAAATAAAGAGTGTTGAATTGTGAAATTCAGAAGGAAGGCGCCGTCATCCGACGCATTTCACCAGGCAGGCTTCTTCAGGGGTTTAAAAAGGGTGTACGTCGATGCAAAAGATAGATGTAATTTGACATGTTTAATTTTGCCTTCAATTTCTATAGAGGTTTAGTATTCTGAAAATAAAAAACATCTATTGAAAATATCTGCTGTGCCCAGAGGAGTTTAGTGTTTTGCCTGTAGAAGCAGCTCATGTTATCCTATGTGTCCATGCACATTAGGTAGTCTAGAGGCTTTTTTAAAGCTCAGCATTTAGAGGCAGGAAAAAAAACCTTCTGCTTTGTGTTTTTGAGAGCAGTTTTCTGGCAGAAAAAAAAACCCGAAACGCTAATACAAAAAAACTCACAATTTTTCTGCCAAGAGCTCTGGTGTTTTTTTTAAGCCAATGTGCATGGAGCCTTAAATGGAAGACATGTAAAGAAAAACATTTAGGCTGACCTCTCACAAAATGCTAGCTGCATGTCATACTACTTCAGTGACTACTTGGAAGTCACTAATCTTGAAAAGTATGCAACTTGTGTATTGTGACTTCAGCCGAACTTGCTGCATAATCTTTACAATTAAGTGGTTCAAAGAATTGCAGTATTTACAGCAGAAGGTCATCAAAGCAGCCTACAAGTGTCTTCATGTGCACATTCTATTCATAAAAGAGAGAAGTAACCCCGAACTATTGTCTGTTGCTCTGACACCTCTGAACTCAGGAAAGGTGACTGTGTTTTGTATGGGTTATCACTGTACTTTGCACTACCTTATCACATAAGCCCTCTACAAGAAGTGCTATGCTGATTACATTTGCTTAAAACAAAGGACATTGGCTTGTACCCAGGTAGATAAGGTAACAATGTCAGACAGAAACACAAGAGCTGGATCTAAACATAAATTCCTAAGGGCTCATGTACACTGCAGCTGATATACTCACATTTAGGAGCTGTACAGCGTTTTTTTCCAGCAGCCCCTGAACTCTCCCTAATGTTTTTCTATGTGTCCATGTACACATAGTCATTTACAGGCAGTTGAGTTTACAGTCATTTTTTTGAACGCAGAAAACTTGCGTTCAGGGATAGATTTTATCAGCGTTTCAAAAGACAAACGCTTGTAAATGCGTGTGAATGCAGCTAGATGCAGCTAACCGCGTTTTTTAAGCGTTTTAACATTTTTTTTTTTAACTCTTCCATTTCCAGATGCTGTCCACAGCCTTTTTTCATCATGAAAAATGTATGCAAAGCGTTTTCCCAGTACTCAAATGGACCCGGTACACCATACTTTGAGGTTTCGCATAACAGAAAATACGTTTGACACTGCTGCAATAATTTCTGCACAGAAATGAGCTGGAACACATCCAAACACCACAAAAAAAAAAAAGACAGCTAATCTCAACACATACTGCTCTCCCTGCTTCTGCTCTCTCTATTTCTCTCAAAATGTCTGAAATAGGTAATTTTTTTACAGTTTTTCAGTGCATTCTGAGCATTTTGGAAGGTCTCCTGAGGTTATCTTTAAAAAACGCTTCTAAACGCAAACGCTCATAAACGCGGTATGCAAATGCAGCTAAACAGATGTTTTTTAACCTACGTTTTCCAGCAGTCAGTTTCCATCATTCAGAAGTGTCCCGTGTACATGGAGCCTAATACATTTGCTGCTATTATCACATGAAAATGCTTGTGCTCACATCCTGTTATTTTTGAAGCAAATATAATGAGAACACAACGATGAGACAATGGAAAACCGCTGTATTCTCTCTCAGCACAGAGCTTTTAGGAATAACAGGTTTTCAGCTGAGCCCTCTGGGCTGTGTATAAAACATAATGGGAGTGAGAAATGAGGCCGACATAAGATGTGTTCACATCCCAGAGCTCTAAGTGCATTAGCCAGGAAGAAGAAGATTTCATAATTCACCAATGCTTTCTTCAAATACACTGTGATTAACCTTCCAGTAATGTCATCATGTTTCGTAGCCCATTGCAACAGCGTTCAGCTACATTTCACAGAAATTAGGCATTTGATAGTCAGGGTTCACATTCTTCATAACAAAGCAATCAATGCCAAAAATGTTACTGATACTGATATGTAATAATCAGTGGAACACAAAATATTCAAAGATGCATAGAACACACAACCAGCTATTCTCTGAACCAGCAAAAAGAGATTACTACCCGTAATTATATTTCTATGTAACTCCATGGCAGCAAGACTGTGTCAAAGAATATGCCACCCCAATGACTAACCCCCCACAAAAAAATTCAGATTTGTTACTTGAATGCATTTTCTCCGTTAAGGTAAAAAAAAAAAAAAAAAAAATTTAAAAAAAAAAAAAAAAAAAAAATTAAAATGTGCTGATTCCCATTACCTGAGCCCAGTCTCAATCCAGCGCAGCAGGAATGCTCTCCCTCTCCTTCACTGGACTCAGTGAGAGCAGTGGGAGCCATTGGTTCCTGCTGCTGTCAATCAAATTCAGTGATGCAGGGGTGGGGACCTAGCCATGGGGGACCCCAAAGGAAGAGGATGAGGCCAATCTGTGCAAAATCATTGCTCAAAGCAGGTAAGTATGACAATTTGACAAAAAAAAAAAAAAAAAAGGAACCTTTACAATCACTTTAACCACCTCCCATCCGTCCCATGTATATAAACGGCTGGAGGGTGCCAGGGTAGGGTGGCCGATTATAAATGGCCTCCCTGCGCCCTGCTTGTGCGCGCTCCCTGGGAGCGCGCGCAGCACCGTGATTCGGTGCCCGCTGTGTCCTCCGGATCATCGGACGGGACCTCTGTGCGAGGTCCCGATCATGTGATCACTGATTGGCCAATCAGCGATCACATGCAGAGTAGTAAGCAAGATGTCACTTGTGACATCATTGCTTAGTACGTGAGAAATCTGTAAATGATCACAGAGGTCACATGGTACAAGGCTATTCACAACAGCCTTGTACCATGTAACAAGCTGTGACCAATCACAGCTCACACAGTAGTTCTCAATGGCTGCAAGAATGCAGCTAGAGAGAAGGAGAAATGATTGCTTTTACAGTCTTTATTTGTAGCCTTTATGGGACACTGTACTGCTAGGGTGACAGTATGTAAAAAAAAAAAAAAAAAAACCCATAAATAATAATATAAAAAAAAAAATGTAAAACAAAATGTTTAAAAATTATAATTTTTTGTTATAAACTAATTTGGGTTATTTTTTTTTTTACTGGCCAAGATTAATGATGAAATACTACTTGCAAAATTTTATAAGAAAAACACTATTTAAAATTTTTTGGGACTTTTTCATTTACATAGCAAAAAAAATAAAAACCCCAGTGGTGAATAAATACCACCAAAATAAAGCTTTATCGGTCTCAAAAAAAGCTAAAAAAATTCATATGGGTACAGTGTTGCATGACCGCGCAATTGTCATTCAAAGTGTGATAGCGCTGAAAGCTGAAAACTGGCCTGGGCAGGAAGGAGGTAAAAGTGTCCGGACTGGAAGTGGTTAACAAAGCGTTACTTTTTTTCTAAGCGTATCTAGTGTCTGAAGTTCTATCAAAGAAAAAAGCTTACCTTTAAAATAGAATTATCTTGCCGGGTATTCTTTGTGTCATATCCCTCTAGGAGACATCGACGGATTGTATTGCCAGACCCAGCAAACTCTGCAAGGTTGAGATCTGCAAAGCCAAGCTTAAACCAAAAAGAGATATGAACATTACAGAGGTAACTGCAAAGGGTAGTCATATTCCTAATCTGTGTATTAATCCTTAAATCCCAGCTTCAGCCTTTATTAGATAGCCCAGAAAAGGGAACACTTGTCAAATCGTTATTGCTCTTCGTGACCCTATTGGGGAGATGTCACCCTATTTCCTGTTCCCTTGACAATAGGACAAGAAATAAGAGAAGCCTTCATCACCAGGGCGGGAAGACACAGCGAGTGACAATAATCTGACAAAAAAACAAAAACCTTCTCCGTTTTAGTGAAAACTGTGTTTTGCTGCAGTTTTTGTCTGCTGGGAAGGCTTCCCATCACTTCTCCTACTGACAGGAAATAGAGGGAGATCTCCTTAGAGGGAAAAGTGCTCATTGATGATTTGTTGTTAACAAAGCCCAATAATGTCAAGTTATTCTTGAATCTTTACTATGCAAGGCCAACATAAGCCCTCATGTGCACTGGACGGTTTGATAATGCTGGTAAAATTAGCTGTGTAAAGTCACATTAAAAACGCAAGTTTTTCAGCTTTTTTTAGCGTTTTTGCATAGCGTTTAGCCACGATTAGCAGCATTTTTTTTTAGCTTTTTTTGGTAAAAAAATTGGCGGTTTGCAGCGTTTACCACATTTTGCCAGGTTAGAGAGTTTTTACAGCTAAAAAAACTCCTCTAGTTTGGGTTTTTTTTTTCCAACCAAAAAACGTTGATTACAGTCTATGTACTCATGGACACATAGGATAACATGCTGGGGGGTTTACCTGCTGTAGAAAAAAACATCAAAAGCCAAAAAACAGCTGCTGTAAAAACGTCCAGTGTGCATGAGGACTTAGGGTTCATGTACACTGCAGCTGATAAAATGACGTTCAGGAGCTTTTCTGTGGGTTTTCTTTAGCAACGCTTGAACTCTCCCTAATGTTTTCCTATGCGTCCATGTACACTATGTCGTTTACGGTCGTTAACAGGCAGTTGAGTTTACAGTCTTTTTTTTTTTTTTTTTAAACGCACCAAACTTGCGTGCAGGAGTAGATTTTATCAGCGTTTCAAATGCCAAACACTTGTAAACGTGTAAACGCATGTAAGCGTGGCTAACCGTGTTTATAAGCGTTAGTGTTTAGAAGCGTTTTTTAACTGTTCCATGTCCAGATGCTGTCCAGAGCCTTTTTTCATTATTAGAAATGCATGCAAAGTGTTTTACGGATACTGATCTCTCTGCTTCTGCTCTCTCTATTCCTCTCAAAATGTTTGAAATAGTTAATTATTTACTATTTTTCAGTGCATTCTGGGCATTTGGGAAGGTCTCCTGAGGTTATCTTTTAAAAACGCAAACGCTCATAAACGCGGTATGCAAATGCGGCTAAACAGACATTTTTTTAACCTACGTTTTCCAGCAGTCAGTTTCCATTGTTCAGAAGTGTTCTCCAAACGTCACATGTACAGTACATGGAGCCTAATAGTCCATCCCCTCTAGAGTTCATAGGAAGGGCTGCACCAATATTAACCCCTTTGCGTCGGCGCCTCCCGGCCCTTTAAGGGTTTCAGAAGCCGGGAGGCGGGGTTTAGGGTCATGTGACCGCCGTGACATGCCGTCACATGATCGGGAAAGGTCCCGATCGAAAGAGGAGAGCGCACGCTCTCAGCACATATGTTCTTTTTTAATAGAACACAAATGTACGTCCGCTCGGCGTCTAGGCCCAGACGCCGGGAGGCTGCACATTTGCGTTCAGCCAGCGTGAAGAGGTTAAATATGCCGCCCTGACTGTTGCTCTTTTATGCAACGGTTTTAAATTAAAAACATAATGGTAAATATGACAGAAATGTGTTCAAAAACATCATGAGTGTTTCAGACACGCCAGTGCAGATGTTCTTGTAACATTGAAGAAAAAAAAAAAAAAAAAAAATCACAAATCTATAGATTCAACCGAAAAAGTAAAATTCAGAGCTCAATCACACATTGAAATTTCAGTGTGACCTGCAAACTGTATAATGAGCTCTACACAATGTTTTGCAATGGCAGTTTTTATATGAATATATACTGTATACATGCAGTTTCAAGTGGTGAAGTTTTCAAAATTCATGCATGCAGAGTTTAGCCTGGAGATTTCCTCAATCACATCTTCCACAGTAATAAATGGTATTGGAAATGTTAGTCCATAACTATTTACCTTCGCATAGGCTTTCCCACCTTTCAGCTCCTGAAACACATAAGAAACATTTCAGAAATGTAAGAAAGTCTTTTCAAATGTGGTGTCTATCAACATGCAGGTATGCCAATACTACTTTATTCCTTTTTGGTTCGCACTCAAACCAGGAGTGCCAATAAGCAGGCAGAAAGGAATAATGGCGATGTTGTTCATAGCAAGAAATCAGATTCTTCTTTTCATGCAGACTTCATGATCCTCTGAAGTTGGAACAAATGGTTGACTGTGCCTCACCCAAGTACCAAAGCAGGTAGGGGTACAGACCTCCTCTTACAACTAAAGAAAAGGGTCTGGAAAGCATATTTGGAAGAGACTCCTTGTACTCTCCTCCTAAACTCCAGCGAGGAGAAGGAGGGAAAATTGAGGATGGAGGACAGGCCAAATAAGAGGAGCCTCTTCCACCATGGTTCCATACAATGCATCTCCTCCATGGGGAAGAAACAAAAAAATTAAAGTGGAAGTTTAGTCAAAACATATCTACAGTAATGCTAAACCTACTCTCAGCCACATTCTAAGCCTAATCTACCTAACCATGTAAAGAGAAGAATGCTATACTTACCTGTTCTGAAGCTGCTCCAGTCCGGTCTCCAGTGGCATCTGTGCAGAGAGAAAGTTGACAACAGATGGGAAATGAATAAGAGATGGCATCACCCATAGACTTACTATGGGGCATCCGTTGTAGGCTGCCTCTGCTCTACACAGAAGCCGCTGTTGACAGCTCAACCTCGGACCGGAGTGGCTTAAGAACAGGTAAGTATAGTGATTTTTTCTTTACAGCGTTAGATAGATTAGGCTTAGAAAGTGGCTGAGAGTAAGTTTGGTGTTAGATAGGTCTTGACTAAACATCCATTTTAACGACTTGTTGACAGCATAACCTAGTTATACAGCAGCAGAGTGGCTTTCCTGCTTCAGATCACATACCTAGTACGTGATTCGATATTTTCAGGTAGGGGGCGCACACTGCCAGCAACCCGGCTGTGCTGTGATTAGACATAGCACAAGCCAATCAGTGGGTGACAGGCCAATTGATGACCGCCGGCACCTGATCGGCGAGGTGAAAGACAGAAGAGAGCTTTGCCTATACAAACAAAGCAAAACTCTATCCTGCCAATGGGGATGTGCTGGATTTTATTTCCCTGCAAAGCAGGGAATAAAAACCAGTGCATCCCTCAGTGAAAGCACCACATAGTATTTATTTATTCCGCCAATTTACGCAACGCTTTACATATATATTGTACATTTACATCAGTCCCTAACCCTCGAAGGGCGTACAATCTAAGGTCCCTTACATTCTTACACACACATACTAGGGCCAGTTTAGACAGGATCCAATTAACCTACCAGCAGGTCTTTGAAGGGTGGGAGGAAACCAGAGTAACTGGAGGAAACCCATGCAGGCACAAGGAGAACATGCAAACTCCAGGCAGGTGGTGCCGTGGTTGGGATTCGAACTAATGACCCTAGTACTGCCAGGCGGAAGTGCTAACCATTTAGCTGCTGTGCTGCCCTACACACAAAAACAGTGGTTAGGCACACATTTAACTCTTTGATGTGATTGCCCTAGATGTTTAATCCCTTCACAGCCAGTGTCAGTGCATATTTTTAGCACTGATCACTGTATTACTGTCCTTGGTTCCCACAAAGTGTCAAAAGTGTCAGATTGTCTGCTGAAATATCACAGTCCTGCTATAAGTCGCTGATCACCACCATTACTAGTGTAAAAAAAAAAAAAAATTCAGGTATATATACACCATAGTTTGTAGTCACTATAAAGTTCACATAAACCAATCAATATACGCTTATTGGAATTTTTGTTACCAAGAATATGTAGCAGAATAGATATTGGCCCTAATTTATGAAGAATTTAGATTTTTTTATTTTCTTTTTATTGTAAATGTTTTATAGCAAATAGTAAAAAATATTGTTTGTTTTTCAAAATTTTCAGTTTTTTTTCGATTATAGCAGAAAAATAAGAACCCCAGTTTTGATCAATTACCACCAAAAGAAAGCTCTATTTGCGGGAAAAAAAATTACATAAATTTTGTTTGTGTACAGCGTTGCATGACCGTACACTTTTCAGTTAAAATAACACCGTGCCAAAAAGCAAAAAGGTCAAGTGCTTAAGGATGATTACAGATGGACTTCCTTTTCACCTTTCATCTGGTGACTTGCTTTCTGTCTTGGTGGTAGGTCCTTCTATCTCTCATAAGCTGTTCTGAGAGACAACTAGGAAAAAACTAACTGGATGTCAGCAATGTGCCCCCACAAGTCCCTTTTTGAATCCTGCAGGTACAGGTCTGTACTAGGAAAAGTAGTAGCAGTTTTACCTTACGGACGGACCCCTGCAGACACACGGATCCAAGATCCCGGAGGCAGCACTTGCACTCATCTTGCACATAAAGGAGAACTTTTTTCTTCCAATGGACACTGTTAGCTTGGACAACTTCCCTGTAAAAAGAGACATAAGACAGTTGAGCAACATCAACACAAAGGCTTTATTAACATACACATAACATCAACCCTCACCCATAAGCAACCATTAGCATCAGCCAATATATGACGAGAAATTAGCCAGAGTTAGTCAAATTAGCCAGAGTTCACTATGATGGCACTTTTTCTCAGTGTAATGGCTTTTAATACTGAGCAGGTTGAGGTACGCTTTGACCGTAGCCTGTGCCTACAGCCATGGGCACAAAACAAGATCACCACTTATCACCTGGCACTACATTTGATTTTCTCAGTATATCTCTGCATCCCTTGTGCCTTCTTAGACCTGATGATTGGTTGCTTAGGCGCAGAGTATTGGCCCGTGGGACACGGGATGTGATTGTGCCATATAACCAAGCTGTGGCTGCTAGTTTATGAAGCACAGTTGGTCATCCATCTTGCATGGGACCTAGGCAATGCAATACATATTTATACATGGACTGAGCTCTGCATAAAGGCATCATTCTCCAAATTGGAACCCATCCAAAAAGGCCTTCAATAGGCTAGATAGCATACATTTACACAGCTGATGCTCTGGCCACTTTTAATCCAAAAAGTAAACTCAGTCTGGTGATCGTTTTATCCACTACAAGTCCAGCAGACTGGATCTGTGTAACTGGAAATGACCTACTCTGTGCAGTCTCTAATGACTGCAAAATGCTAAATCATTGACCCATGTCAGTACGCTATACTTCATGTGTTAATTGCCATAAAAAAAAAAAAAAACATTGTCAACTTTTATCAGCAAACAGGGGGCACTTCTTTTATGTAAAATAAGAATATATTTATTTCAGGTACTTATATAGTGCTGTCAATTTATGAAGCGCTATATAATATATATATATATATATATATATATATATATATATATAAATAATTCTACATTTCCAGCAGAACCTAACCCTCAAGGGGTGTACAATCTAAGGTCCGTAAACTTACACATACCAGGGCCAATTTGACAGGATCCAATTAGCCTACCTGCATATCTTTTGGGTGTGGTGGGGGGCCGTGTGGGCACGGGGGGAGCATGCAAGCTCCAGGCGGGTGGTGCCGTGGCTGGGATTACAATCTAAGGTCCCTAATTTACATTCATGCATACACATACTAGGGCCAATTTGGACAAGATCCAATTAGTCTACCTGCATGTCTTTTGGGTGTGGTGGGGGGCCCACGAGGGCACGGGGGGAGCATGCGGGCTCCAGGCAGGTGGTGTTGTGGCTGGGATTTGAACCAATGACCCTGGTGCTGCCAGGTGGAAGGGCTAACCATTTATCTACTGTGCTGCCCCATATATGTTCAAGAAAGCTGTGCTTACCCGTGGCCTATTAATTTGAGTAACTAATCCACTGGGTCCACTGTAATGCATGAACTCAACTGATGGGTCATCATCCCATTTTATGGCTGCAGAAATTTTCTAGTGTTGCCCACTGGGGTATGGCGAGTAGCAATAAAAAGCTGGTATGCTGTGCCAATCACCATACTTAAGCTATTGCTACTCTCTGTGTGTGTAACAGGCAGGGGGTACTAATATGCAGTGACAACATCCATGTGCTCTTGGTAGTACTGAGCTAGAGATCCCCAATTCATTTTCTCAGTGCTGCAAAAGGGCATCTACATAATGCAAAAGATGGATGCCAAGCTTGGCTTTACTAAGAAGACAGTGCGGCTGCCAATATCCATGCAGCTACAGAGCCTCTGGAGATTAGCACACATATTAATGGACACCACAACTGAGAAAATATGAACACTGCGATTGCTAACCTCTCATTATGGAAATGCTAGTCATCTGGTTCTCCTGCCGATTCATAACCCAAAACAAGTATCAGGGTTTCTGACTTACTCCGATTTCCCTTTTTGCTTGCTTTTTTTATATCAGTCAGTCTAGTAGCATTTTCAAAAGGAAGTCAGAAATGATAATCCCTATATAACCTCAGGATTGTTTTTTTTGTGATTGATCAGCCCACAATGTTCTTAGTTTCGGGTAAGCCTTCACATTTCTGTCAGGTTTTTTATTTCTGCCTGTAACCACATTAAGGAGATTTTTTATTTACTTCCCATTGTTCTAATGCCCCTTGAAAGAAATATAGGATGCGGTGATCACCTGGAAAGGAAAGCATGGACATGATCAAAACATTTCATCTTTCACTGTACTAAAATGGGTTTTGTCTCCTCATTGGAGAGATTTCCACCCAGACAAAAATTATAGGGAAACAGATGACAATAAGTCCTCATGCACACTGGATGTTTTTACAGCGGCTGTTTTTGGCTTTTGATGGTTTTTTCTACAGCTAGTAAACCCCCCAGCATGTTATCCAATGTGTTCATGTACACATTGACTGTAATCAACATTTTTTTGACTGGAAAAAAAACAGGACTAGTAGGTTTCTATGGGAGTTTTTTTAGCTGTAAAAACGCTTGAACGCTGAAAAACACGTCAAAACACAGTAAAAAAACCGCAAAACTGGCATTTTTGGACTTTTTTTTTTTTTTTTTACAGAAAATTTTTTTTTTGGTTGAAAAATGCTGAAAAAACGCAAACGCGGAAAAACGTGTGAAAACGATGCTAAAAGCAGCAAAACGCCGCTAAGCGCCAATGCAAAAATGCTAAAAAGAGCTAAAAAACTAAAAAATTTTAAACGTGACTTTACACAGCTAACATTACCAGCGTTATCAAAACGTCCAGTGTGCATGAGGGATAAGGGCTCATGTACATTGCAGCTGCTAAACTGACGTTCAGGAGCTGTTCTGCTTTTTTTTCAGCAGCCCCTGAACTCTCCCTAATGTTTTCCTATATGTCCATGAACACAGTTGTTTACAGTGGTTTACAGGCAGTTGAGTTTACAGTCGTTTTTTTTAACGCACCAAACTTGCGTTCAGGAGCAGATTTTATCAGCGTTTCAAATGCCAAACGCTTGTAGAAGCGTTTTACCTGTTCCATGTCCAGATGCTGGTCAGAACCTTTTTTCAATCATCAGTAATGCATGCAAAGTGTTTTCCATGTATTCAAATGGACCTAGCACACCAGCGCAGTCAGGTTTCGCGTGAAGGAAAAAAATGGTAGAATGCACTGCATTATGCTCATGATGGGATCCATTGTGAATACAACCAGAAAAGACAGGTCATCTCAACACATACTGATCTCTCTGCTTCTGCTCTCTCTATTCCTCTCAAAATGTCTGAAATAGTAAATTTTTTACTATTTTTCAGTGCATTCTGGGCATTTGGGGAGGTCTCCTGAGATTATCTTTTAAAGACGCTTCTAAACGCAAACGCACATAAATGCGGTATGCAAACGTGTCTAAAATGACCGTTTTGTAACCTATGCTTTCCATCAGTCAGTTTCCTTCGTTCAGAAGAGTTTTCCAAATGTCCCATGTACATGAGCCCTAAAACCCTCACCAAGCGTCTATGGGCTGGAGTTCTGCTTGGAGTTTTAAACTAAAACAGGTTACATTATATCTGCCAGATACTGAAAATAATAGCAGGTAAAGCGGAAGTAAACATTGAAAAAATAAATAACTTTGTCCCTGCAAGGTATAGGCAGTATGTGTATGTATTACATACTAGCACATTAGGAAAGACTAACCTAAAATGAAGCCCTCCAGCGGTGCGCTGTCATCACTGCAGAGCAGGGGCGGACTGACCATTTGGAAACTCGGGCACTGCCCAAGAGCCCGGGGTCAGTAGGGGGCCCCATGAGATGCCCCTGGTACCTTTTTCATAGGCTTTTTTTGAGTTTGGGCAAGGACACAGGGGCCCCATGATCCCCTATTGCCCAGGGGCCCCATGAGTTGTCAGTCCACCCCTGCTGCAGAGACTTCCATTTTCACTTCTGTGTTCACGGGCTGCGGCCCGCTTGAATGGCCGAGGCATGACGACATCACTCCCGCCATGTGCGTGGGAGGCATGGTCACAGCTCTGAAGGAATGGCACAGGTATGCCGTTCCTTCTGCCGTCACCGGCTGCCAATCAAGCAAATATTTCCTAACCGATGCACAATTAGAAGATATTCATTTAACCTACAGGTAAGTTTTATTAAAAGCTTACCTGTAGATAAAAATCAAAATGCGGAGTTTACTATCACTGTAAGAAAGTCCCTATACCTGGAAAGAAACCAGCAAGTTGGACACCAGCATTAGTTAGCACTGTCTATTGACTCATGGTAGCGGGCTTCATTTTTGGCACTTAAACTGCAGTTGACAGTTATATATTTTTTTAAACATAACTAAGCATGAAGACAATTTGTATTTGAAAAATCCTGCTTTATACCAGCTTCATTTTATGGTCATACTGAGTCAGCGAGCCTGCTTGTGTTCTACACTCATGAGTGGACATTCAGGGGGGGGGGAAGCACCTCGTCCCTTATTACTCCGAGCCCAGACAGTGTGCACACGCTGGCTGCAGATGTGGTTTTGACAGGTCAGGTTACCCTTAGTAACTAATGAATACAAACATAAGACATTGAATGAGGCAGACGCAGAGCATATAGGACTTCCTTTGCCTTGACTCATCACTTCCCTGTGTGAGTCAGAAAGAAAAACAGATTTTTTTTATTCTAGCATAGTTCCCCGAATACAAATTCAATCATCTTGTCACATTATTTTGTTCCTAGCAACCTTTTGTGTTGTTCTGTTATCCTGCAATGTTTGCTAAAGTAAAGGATCAGTCAACCCAGTTTGGTACTTGTTGAATATTAAGTGAACGCACTTGACAACTCCTATCTCAATGGAAATTCAAAAGGAACTGAATTCTGGAAGCTGTACCCAAAAAGGCAGGCGGTCAAAAGAACTAATTCACCTGTATTACCTCAGATTTCCTCGCAATTCATCTTTCCCCATTAATGACTTACAAAGTCTTGTTCTGCGCTGTGCTTTGGTCAGCAGAAAGAAAGCCTAATACAGTGGAGAGAATGCTACTTACATTGGTGGTCAGTGAGAATATTACCCTTACAGACAATGAAGATATACACTGGTTTTAGTGGTTAATTCCCTAAGAAACCGGGAGGACCAGCTCCACTTTTGCCATTCCAGGTAAATGGTTTTGCTGAGTGGTGTTGGTGTCAGACCTATTTGGGAAACATAGGAAATCATTGGTCAAGGAACCTACGGCAAACTCTGAGGGATCTTAGGGTTCCACAAAACGTTGGGTGAGAAAAGACTGTTCTAGATTGTTCAATTCATCCCTCTGCTGCAATGGCCCCTATCCTCCCCTCCTCAGTGGGGTTTTGGTTCCTTAGTGGGGGGGGGGGGGGGGGGGCTCAGTAGTTACCTTTTATTATTCACAGCCCTTTTTTTAAAGTGTTTGACCTATGGCAATCCACCATGGGCCCGCAGAAATAACACCTGACTGCCAATTTGGACACTATGGTCAGATTTTCCCCATTGTCATGGGCCCATCCTGTATCACCCTTTTCCCATGGAACATGCACAAATCTCTTTTTTTTTTCTATGATTGCAGGTGGCAGTGGTGGTTCCGATGGGTGACATCAGCATGCTGGCACCTGTGGGTGTGTTCCAATATATGAAGTGCATGCACGTCCTTTCCTCCATTTGTAAGAAACGGCCAGCTTCATTCACATATATGAGTGGACCTTGCAGGAGGGCTTTATAGGAGACATAAGATTTGCTCCTGCTCCACATGCCAACCTGTGGGACAATCATATGTACTAGCCCTGCCATCCCCTACTTGGTAAGTGTGAAATGTGTCAACATGGGGTCCACAGTAGTTCTGTATTGATTGGGAGTTATGTGATATAATCTCTAATCCACAGCCAATACTGTATTTTATGTAAACATTTTTTAGAGTATGCATCACTTCTGTATTTCAATGTGGAAATAAAAAAAATGTTTTCTTCTTCACTAGTTGTATGATATGTACAATCCTGAGACCACACAGAAGGTCCCCTTTCATTATCTGAACCACCATTTAAAAGACAAAAAAGAGGGTCGTTGCTGATCTATTTCTTAATATGTTAGTTACCTGACTGTCATGCCGATACCCTCTCCAGTATTTAAAATTATATTAAACCCTCAGTATTTTTAAGTACTTTCAGCAGCGGATTTAATAAATTATAAAGTATGCAGTCAGTTTATCTTTTCATCCTTGCCTATGTTCCTGTTTAACCCCTTCACGCCGGTGCCTCCCAGCCCTTTAAGAGTTTCAGAAGCCGGGAGGGGGGATGGGCAGGGTGGGGTTTTAGGGTCATGGCGGTCACATGATCGGGAAAGGTCCCGATCGAAAGAGGAGACCGGGACCTTTCCGTGAGTACCGGACATGTGTGCTGGGAGCGTGCAGGGCACGCGCTCTCAGCACGTCTTTTTTTAATAGAATGCAAATGTGCGGCCGCTCAGCGTCTAGGCCCAGATGTGGGAGGCTGCACATTTGCGTTCGGCCGGCGTGAAGAGATTAAGCTGGTGCCATGACCGCTGCCCCAGGTTTCTTGTTTCAGGGTGGCTCTTTTCCTGTGCAGCATCCTATAGAGCCACCCTTGCATGCATGGCTCCATTTACATTATGCAGAGAATTGCAAACAGACAGGTATGCTCATTTTATTGCAGAAGAGACATTGCATGTCTCTTCTGCTATAAAGAGCCTGTCTGTGGGCAAAAATAAACATGCATTTAGTTCTGCTTCAAGTCATAAGCAGTAGCCATCATCAAGTGATGGATGAACAAGCAATCCACTGCAGATCCTGGTTCTATTTAAACTTAAAAAGACAAAGAATGTAATTTTAGTCCTCATGCACACTAGACGTTTTTACAGCGGCTGTTTTTGGCTTTTGATGTTGTTTTTTTCTTCAGCCAGTAAACTCCCTAGCATGTTATCCTATGTGTCCATGCACACCTAGACTGTAATCAACATTTTTTTGGCAGGGACGTTCTTTGGCTGGAAAAAAAAAAATCCAAAAAACTAATGGGTTTCTAGAGGATTTTTTTTAGCTGTAAAAGCACTCTAATGCTGAAAAACGCTGTAAAAACGCAGTAAAGCGCGTCAAACCAGCTTTTTGGACTTTTTTTGACCAAAAACAAAATTAAAAAAAAAAAAAAAAAAAAAAAAAAAAAACGCAGCTAAACACTAATACAAAAACTCTAAAAAAAAAACGCTGAAAAACTCAAGTTTTTAACATGACTTTACACAGCTAACGTTACCAGTGTTATTAAAATGCCCCATGTGCGTGAAGCCTTCGGATTCTTGGACACACTATTTAATTCACATTAGAGTCTAACAGTGATCCACACTGCTTAAAATACTCAATAAATGACATTAGATTTGAAAAATGTATTCATTTATCCATGACAATTTTTCAGATGTTTTTGTTTACAAAGCAGCAGTAAGTAATGGTGAAATAACCGTACTTAGATTCTGCCAGGGCACATGAATCACCTCCCTGATTACTGAAATCATATATTTTTTAAACTTCCATAAGCCTGTCCTGCATTTATTGTTATGAAGGTGCTTTCAGATGTGTTGATAAAGCATTCAGCTGAGCCAATCCATGGTCAAAAAACAAGAAATGTGCTGTTAAAATTTTTTAGAAAGGATTAAATCCTCAGGTGTCTATTGCTCACACTCACTATTTAATAAGTTTCACCAAAATAAAAAAAGTTCTTCAAACATTCTAGGATCCACGCAAATGGAAAAATGTTTTCATACAGGTTTGCAGAATATTTCAAGAACTTTGTATTTATTGAAATAAACCTTAAAAATATTTTTTCATATTACACTGTCACATTTGTATATTATGCAGCCAACAGACATCTAGGGATGCAATTGTTTTTATAGTTAAAGTAGAAATTGCTGCATCAGTACATCAAGTATCAAATAAACACAGGTGTGTACAGCTTCCGGAAAAATGTATGGTATGCTCATGAGAACTAAAAAAAAAAAAAAAAGACAGGGGCTATATTAAAATGTACACAAATTACTACTGCCTGGACCTTTAATACATTATTCTCTGCATGTCTCGGTTGGCAGTGATGGGGACAAGATGCAAGTATGTTAGTGCACTGACCATAAATGTGATTTCCATGACTCCTCTACAATGGCCAATTGGCCAGCCCTTGCCACACGTTGGGGCTGATTTAATAAAGAAGTAAAGGCTGCTCTTAATAAAATGAATGTTAGTAAATAGAGTGATCATGTTCACTTTAATATTCAATTATTCAATCAAGAAAAGCAAGAGAAAAATAATGGATTTCTTCTTAAAAAGTAACTGGATTGTTTAAAATTGGTGTAAACCTCAGTCATGAAATATGAACAAAGCAAATCCTTCTATAAATTGTCTCTGTTAAGAGCACTAAGTGTCCTTTCTGTCTGCTGCTTCTCCCATCAGCATGAATCTCTTCTGGCAAGTTTTCCTGACAGGGAAGGGACCTCCAGCAGATTGACAGCCTCAGCGCTGTTCCTGTGTGCTGTGTGAAGGGAGGTGTGTCTCTTCCCTCCAATCAGCTCTCAGAGCTCTGCAGAGCGTAATTTCAGTGCTCCACCCCCTATTTTCTGAACTCTCAGACAATCTTCATAAATTTAGTACTTTGAACAGATGCAGAGAAGAGAATACAGAAGATAAACAGGTACAACTTAAGTAGGAGGATTTGCTTAGTCTCTCTGTATCACCCGAGGTCAGTCACCTCAATACGCCTTCAATTTACTCTCTGTAGTAGGCTAAAAAAAAAAAACTATTTGCAGTGTACTGCTTTTCAGACTGCAGTTTAGAGACAGTTTACAGGTGTTCAGGAGGCGATACCAGCATCCCCTAAATGCCTGTCTTTCAATCTCAAATCAGATTTTACAATGAAATACAGTTCCACAATAGCTATAGCCATGTCTGGCATGTAGGTGCAGCATGATCCCATTGACCTGGCAGGTGTAATGCCTGCCGGGCATGACATGCGGAGTTAAAACACCGCACTGCAATGTGTCTAGTCTGAACTGCCCCATTCGGGGCAAATGTTGGAGTCGTTATCGCAAAGCAAATGCCAGGTTTTTTTTTACCGCAGTCACTTTCCTCATGTGAACAAGGCCTAAATCAACCCCATTGCTTCGGTCTTCTACTTCACAGACAGGAACCCTCCTAAAACAGGTGCTTCCTATTTTAAACACTTGATACTTCAGCCAGGTAACATCCTTCACGGAGCAGTGGCCACGGAGCCCACCCTCACTCTCCCGGGCCTGATTCCACATAGATCCAGGATCCTCCAGGATCCTGTCCACCAGATTAACTCACTCTCAGCCACCTGAATAAAAAAACCACAGAACTGGCAGCAAGCATCCACCAACCCCAAGCGTTTGCAAAACTCCTAAAGCTGCAGTCGTAAATGATACATTTCAAAGTAATGCCGGCCATAGACTGGTCGAAAAAAAAAAAAATAGGCCAATTTTCGCACTGTTAGCGGGTTAAGAAGAAGAAGAATGTACAGGTGTCACTGAACGGCGGCTCCGTTCTTCTTCCACTATTATATTTTATATGGAAAAGTCTTGCAGTTGCAACAAATGTATCCATTTGTATCCAAATAAAAACATAATGTATTTGTATTGCTGTCACATTGTATGGTGTGCTCCCCTGTCTCTGTCAAACTGGTTTCTTGTCCCATTCTTTTGTGAGCATTGGTGGCAGCATCGGCAACGACCGATTTTTCGTTTATTGCCCGACAATTCGACCGATTTTTCATTTATTGGCCGACAATTCGGCCGATAAACGGCCCATCTATGGCCTGCATTAAGGTTCTGCTGTCAACAACAGACAGCGTGCATATACTGTAGATAAAAATATAAGGGTGCTGTCAGCACTCAGCAGACAGATCAATTGGAGACACAAACCCAATCATATGCTTGGTGAAACCAAACAAATGGTCTTCCCATCCAAAACTGTTTTGGTAGATGCCAGAAAAAAATACAACTAGTATAAAATTACAAATACAATTACTCTCCTTTCTCCAAAAATGCTAGCTACCAGACTGGAATACTCTTGAGTCACAGACCCAGAACAAGAGTACATCAAAGTCAGAATTTCTTATCTCTAACCTTGTTTTTGGTCTGTGAGCCAAAAAATACTAACGGTTGCCAAACAGGCAACCAGTGATGAGCTCAGGCATGTTCAGACACGAGTCCGAACCTGCCTGAGCTATCCCACCTCTTGACAGCCAGTCATAGGAGACAGAAGCATTCCCCACCCTGCAGCCTCTACCGCCTAAGATTGGCTGTCGCCTTTGACATCTTGCTGGTGGGATAGCTCAGTTGGGTTCAGACTCTTCTCTGAACATGCCAGAGCTCATCCCTACAGGCAACCAGTAATTTCAGAAAAGGAGGCCACCAATGGTAATCCCTACATTTTTCTCAGGACTGGTATCCAGTCAACATGTATTGCAAATCAATATATTGAATACTTACAGTTCCGGTGGGCAATGTGTTAAAGCCAACTCTCTTGCAGATCAAGGTCACCAGTACTATCCAAAGGAGTTGGATAGTGTGTGCCTCACTGTACAATGTGGTTCCGCCACTGACCTGTACATCAGTGCTTTGTCCTATTGTGACGTAAATAACGGTAGGAGGTACCACTATGAGCAGAGTGAGACCAGGAATTTAACACTTGGAAGTGTTAGGTAGCAGGGGGGGGGTTAATAACTCTGTCAATATTAAAAGGTAAGTATTCAATATATCCATTTTCAGGGTCCTGCTGCTCTGACTTCTTTCAGCTAGTGATAGGGTGGCTTTAACATTGTTTTTATATGTTTCAGGGAACTTCAGTGATAAGATTGCCTGCTTGCTTTGAATATCCAAGGCTGTATACCTGCAAAAAGCTTCACAGGATTATTGGATATTCTGATTTACATTACGGTTAATGCAACAGGAGCTGGGACAACCAAAACTCTGAAGGAGCAGAGCAAGGAACTATACCTCTGAAATCAGGCTGGAGCCCCAGGTGACCTGGCCCACAACACGCTTCCTACACCCAAAACATTACTTTTGGGCGGACTGATTCCTTACAGGAAATCTATCAAGCTAAACACAATTTCACCAAGGTTGCCACTGTCTGACCCTCAAGGTGCACAGTAGTGACAGGGCACTAAAGCATCTGTTCAACATCAATGCCAATGAGGTGACTACCCTGAAACTTAAGCTGGTCATCAATGCTACACAATGTGGATGAATGTATCTCCCACTGAAGCTACTGCATTCTGACAGCCACCACTGGGTGTGATAATACCTTAAGCAGAATTTCACCCAAAAGGGGAAGGTCTGCTTTAAGTACTCCTCCCCTCTCCTCTACCATGTTTGGCATACAATTTTTTAGGACAGGTAGCAGGTACCTAGTCTTGACAGGGACCTGCTCCCACTCGGATTGCCTAGGCAATCCCAGCAGAAGTTCTTTGCCCCCCCTGCAGTCCTCTGTGACACATCACAGGTCCCTGAAGACTGCGGGACCACTCACTAAGCACAGCACAGTCCAACGCCTCCAAGATGGCACACCAATACGCGCCATTGCAAGAAAATTTGCTACGCCTCCCAGCACAGCCACAAGAGCATGGAGGAGATTCCAGGAGACAGGCAGTTACTTGAGGAGAGCTGGATAGGGCCGTAGAAAGTCCTTAACCCATCAGCAGGACCGGTATCTGCTCCTTTGTGCAAGGAGGAACAGAATGAGCACTGCCAGAGCCCCACAAAATGACCTCCAGCAGGCCACTGGGGTGAATGTACTGGTGTGAATGTCTTTGACCAAACAATCAGAAACAGACTTCATGAGGGTGGCCGGAGGGCCCAGTGTCCTCTAGTGGGCCCTGTGCTCACTGACCGGCACCATAGAGCTTAATTGGCATTTTCCACTGAACATCAGAAGGTCCGCCACTGGCGCCCTGTGCTTTTCACAGATGAGGGCAGGTTTACCCTGAGCACGTGACAGATGTGAAAGGGTCTGGAGAAGCCATGGAGAATGTTATGCTGCCTGTAACATCATTCAGCATGACCATTTTGGTGGTGGGTCAGTGATGGTCTGGGGAGGCATCTCCATAGAGGGACGCACAGAACTCTACAGACTAGACAACAATGGCACCCTGACTGCCATTAGGTATCAGAATGAAATCCTTGGACCCACTGTCAGAGACTATGCTGGTGCAGTGGGTTCTGAGTTCCTCCTGGTGCACAACAATGCCTGGCCTCATCTGGTGAGAGTATGCAGGTAGTTCCTGGTGGATGAAGGAATTGATACCACTGAATGGCCCCCATGCTCGCCTGACCTAAATCCAATAGAACACCTCTGGGATATCATTTTTCGGTCCAACCGACGCTGCCAGGTTGCACCTCAGACTGTCCAGGAGCTCAGTGATGCCCTGGTCCAGATCTGGGAGGAAATACGAAAAAAGAAAAAACTTCCTGCGTACAGTGGACTGAATGTAGCATATGTGGATGAATTTTCATGCTTCTTTATAGACCATTAGGTAGGGCAGTGCAGCCCCCAATGGGCTGGGGTAGCCCAAGAAAGCACTATAAAACAATAAAAAGAAAGGGGTGCACCAACCTAGTGCATTACCTCAATAATGACTTTATTAATAAAAAAAATAGCATATGTATATTTACAAATGTCGAATGAACACAGGTATATCATGTCTGACATGAGTTCATAGTCTATAGTGCTAGGCGAGTCCCACTTGCAAGAGTATATTCAAATAATTTTTGTCACGTTTCGAGGAGAGAGCCCCTCTTCCTCAGAGCCTGTTCCTTACAGGCTCTGAGGAAGTGGGTATCTCCCCTCGAAATGCATCAGCCATTATTTGAACATCCTCTTGCATGTGGGACTCGTGTAGCACTAGGTTTGCCAAAAACAGAAAAAAAAAGGCATTCAGGAGATGGCAGGATCCAATGCAGATCACTTTTCAGAAGGCAGTAAAAACTGCTGCATATCTAAACTTGACCTTACTAGGTCTGAGAAAAGTATCATTATTTTATACAGGCAGCAGGTTGTTATTATTGCAGCACTCAGTACACAGCCAACCATCAGTAATACTTCTATCATCTCACCTGCTTGATTCCACACTGAAGCTGCCTCCATCCAGAAGTCGAATTTTGCAGAACAAGATCCCATTAACGAAAGGAACAGAAGACAGATCATCCAACTCAAAATCCACCCGAAACTTAAATTTCTTCTTTTTCATCATCATGAAAGCCATAAACTGGAATGAGGAGGCGAGATGTTGATGGGATGATGCGGCAGAGTAACAGAGGAGAGCAGAAACAATGATCTAATAGCAATAACGAGATTTGGCCCTCTGGAGACAACACCTGAACTTATATACAGTATTATTTCTGCAGTCCACTCCCAGAAATCTATAAAAACCGTTTTATTCCACGAAGCAGCTTGATGTCAGTGAGATTCTTCAATCATTGGCTGCTTCTACTCTTCCTGGAAGACTATGATCATCCTCAGCTCTGTGCTGCAATCACCTTCCTTCCAGTGTCCACTTCCTTTAACTGGAGCTCCTGAATGCTGAGGAGGCAGACTCCGAGGTCATGTTCTTCTCTTCTCCAATTTAAGTTTCAACATCAGAAATCCTCATGTGTTATATCAAGGCAACGGTCACTAGACGTGGGTATAAAGTCATCAGATATATATATTGATACAGGTTCAAACCAAACCACATACACTGCCTACTCCCTATAGTGTACGTCTATGAGGATATCATCCCATCACATTGGTATTACCTAGTCACCTGGTTGACATATGTATACACCATGTCCATCCACTTCACATAGGAGATGTCAGTGATCAGCAATGCTCTGTTTTCTGCAATGGATCTCCATCTAATTGTATTATCCACATCAATCAGTGCTGCTAAACAGATGCCATCAGTACGGCAGTGTCAGTATGCAGTTATGTCAGTGTCCATGCCCCCTAGCTCCCCACTGCACAGTTTGTGAGATCTGTCAGACATTTGTGTGTAGGAGATCTGTATATACGGGATATCTGGGTGTAGGAGATCTGTATATACGGGATATCTGGGTGTAGGAGATCTGTATATATGGGATATCTGGGTGTAGGAGATCTGTATATATGGGATATCTGGGTGTAGGAGATCTGTATATACGGGATATCTGGGTGTAGGAGATCTGTATATACGGGATATCTGGGTGTAGGAGATCTGTATATACGGGATATCTGGGTGTAGGAGATCTGTATATACGGGATATCTGGGTGTAGGAGATCTGTATATACGGGATATCTGGGTGTAGGAGATCTGTATATACGGGATATCTGGGTGTAGGAGATCTGTATATACGGGATATCTGGGTGTAGGAGATCTGTATATACGGGATATCTGGGTGTAGGAGATCTGTATATACGGGATATCTGGGTGTAGGAGATCTGTATATACGGGATATCTGGGTGTAGGAGATCTGTATATATGGGATATCTGGGTGTAGGAGATCTGTATATACGGGATATCTGGGTGTAGGAGATCTGTATATATGAGATATCTGGGTGTAGGAGATCTGGAGATCTGTATATATGGGATATCTGGGTGTAGGAGATCTGTATATATGAGATATCTGGGTGTAGGAGATCTATATATGAGATATCTGGATATAGATCTGGGGATATCTGGGTGTAGGAGATCTGTATATATGGGATATCTGGTGTAGGAGATCTGTATATATGGGATATCTAGGTGTAGGAGATCTGTATATATAGGATATCTGGGTGTAGGAGATCTGTATATATAGGATATCTGGTGTAGGAGATCTGTATAGGTCAGCTCTGTAGGTATATGAGATCTGTATCTGTCAGCTCTGTAGGTATATGAGATCTGTATATGTTAGATCTGGCGGTATATGAGATCTGTATATGTCAGCTCTGTAGGTATATGAGATCTGTATATGTCAGATCTGGTGGTATATGAGATCTGTATATGTCAGATCTGGTGGTATATGAGATCTGTATATGTCAGATCTGGTGGTATATGAGATCTGTATATGTCAGATCTGGTGGTATATGAGATCTGTATATGTCAGCTCTGTAGGTATATGAGATCTGTATATGTCAGATCTGGTGGTATATGAGATCTGTATATGTCAGATCTGGTGGTATATGAGATCTGTATATGTCAGATCTGTAGGTATATGAGATCTGTATATGTCAGATCTGTAGGTATATGAGATCTGTATATGTCAGATCTGTAGTATATGAGATCTGTATCTGTCAGCTCTGTAGGTATATGAGATCTGTATATCTGGGACGTCTGGGTGTATTGGATACCTATGTGCCCCTGTGTCTCCCCCTCACCCCATTTATCACAATGCTCCTCCAGCAGTCCACAGATGTGCTCCGAGGGTTCCTGCTCAGTCCTGGATATGTTTATACCGTCCTGGAGCTATTTTTCCGGAGCTCTCCGTCCCCTGGACTCCTGTAGGTTGGTCCCTCGGTAGTCTCTAAGGTGCTGCTCCAATATTTCCAGCCCAAGTCCAAGCTGCTCCCCGGTGTGAAGCGAACGCTTCCTCTGCGTCCCGCCCGGATCGCTGTCTATGCTTTCAGTCCCCTCCAGGCTTCCGTACCTGTCTGTGTGTCATTTGTGTTGTCTTAGTGCTGCCACCTGCTGGGAAGCTCTGGTATTGCAGGCGTATGAAGTCATAAGCACACGTGTTGTACAGTGACATCTAGTGAGATAACCTGGTACTGTATGCGGAACTTCGGAGTTCCTTTCCTAGAACTCGGTGGCTTGAGTTCACCTAAGGGTTGCCACCTTATCCCTTTTAAACCGAACACATGATAATTATACAGGTTCTGAGGCTAATATAATGCAGATAAGGCACTAAGTGAGTTGAATACCACCTTAATCAGTCACAGACCCTCTGTAATAATATGTGTTCGGGTTTAAAGGGATGAGGTGGCAACCCTACATACACTATATAGCCAAAAGTATTGGGCCAGCCCTCCAAATCATTGGACTCAGGTGTTCCAATCACCTCCATGGCCTCAGGTGTAGAAAAATCATCACCTAGACATGCAGATTGCTTCTGCAAACATCTGTGGAAGAATAGGTCACTCTCAGGAGCTCAGTGAATTCAAGGATGGTACCGTGATAAGTTGCCACCTGTGCAATATGTCCATCTGTAAAATTTCCTTGCTACTAAATATTCCACAGTCACCTGTTAGGCTACGTTCACACTAGTTTTTGTGTGCAGGCGGCAGAGAGGCGTTTGGGAAGCGTTTTTACTGCTTCCCAAACGCCTCTGCCAATTCTGCACATTACAGCACATGGTGCTGTTCTAACGGGAGTGTTTTGCGTCGCGTGTCGCGGCAAAACGGACGCCTCTGGTCGAGTCAGGAGGCTTTGAAGCCTCCTATTCTCGTCTATGGTGCCGCTCCGTGGTTGTGACGCGGTTGCAGGGCGTTTGCGGAGCAGTAACACCACTCAAACTGCATTATAGGCATTTGTGGGTCGTTATTAATGCTCGGAAAAACGCCTAGCAACCACCGCTAAACCGCGCATGCGACGTTTGTGGAGCGTTTGCTGAGCGTTAAAAAACGCTCCGCAAACGCCGGACCAACGCTTGCCAAACGCTATAGGGACGTTTGGCAAGCGTTGGTAAAACAGCCAAGTGTGAATGAGCCCTTAGTGGTATTATAACAAAGTGGAAGCAACTGGGAACAACAGCCACGAAAAATGACAGAGCGGGGTCAGCGAATGCTGAAGCACACAGTACGCAGAAGTCGCCAACTGTCTGCAAAATCAATAGCTAAAGACATCCAAACTTCATGTGGCCTTCAGATTAGCACAACAACAGTGTGTAGAGAGCTTCATAGAATGGGTTTCCATGGCCGAGCAGCTGCATCCAAGCCTTACCTCACCAAGTGCAATGCAAAGTGTCAGTGGTGTAAAGCACGCCGCCACTGGACTCTAGAGCAGTGGAGATGTGTTCTCTGGAGTGACGAATCACATTTCTCTGGTAATCTGATGGACATGTCTGGGTTTGGCAGTTGCCAGGAGAACGGTACTTGCCTGACTGCATTGTGCCAAGTGTAAAGTTTGGTGGAGGGGGGATTATGGTGTGGGGTTGTTATTTAGGGGTTGGGCTTGGCCCCTTAGTTCTAGTGAAGGGAACTCTTAAGGCATCAGCATACCAAGACATTTTGGACAATTTCATGCTCCCAACTTTATGGGAAGTTTGGGGATGGCACCACTCTGTTCCAACATCACTGCGCACCATTCACAAAGCAAGATCCATAAAGACATGGATGAGCGAGTTTGGGGTGAAGGAACTTGACTGGGCTGCACAAAGTCCTGACCTCAACCAGATAGAACACCTTTGGGATGCATTATAGCGGAGACTATGAGCCAGGCTTTCTTGTCTGACATCAGTGCCTGACCTCACAAATGCACTTCTAAAAGAATGGTCAAACATTCCCATAGACACACTCCTAAACCTTGTGGACAGCCTTCCCAGAAGAGTTGAAGCTGTTATAGCTGCAAAGGGTGGGCCAACTCAATATTGAACCCTACGGACTAAGACTGGGATGCCATTAAAGTTCCTGTGAGTGTAAAGGCAGGCTTCCCAATACTTTTGTCAATATAGTGTACCTTCCAACAGTCCTGGATTGGGACTTTCCCATATTTTCACCTTTGTTGGCAGGGTTTGTATCCGCAATGAGAGAAAAGCGTGCAGCTGTCAACTCCAATCTGTGATGTTGGGGATGCGCAGAACCAATATGCGTTTCAAGGGCTCCGCCCCCTTTGTCAAGCAAGCACTGCATGGTCAAACTGCCAGCATTTATACATGGCTGGCCAGGAAAGACAGTGACAAGGGGCAGGACCAACTGGAACTACTGCATGTGCCCCCCGCAGCGGTGTATAATAAACCTGAATTATACACCATTGCGGGTGCACATGCAGTAATTCCAATTGGTCCTGCCCCTTGCCAGCTTTTTTCCGGTTGGCACTGTATAAATGCCGGCTGTTTCCCTATGAAAGGTTGTTTTTAAAAGGGGTGGAACTCCTGAAACGCATATCGGCCCCACCAAATCCCTGACATCACAGGTTGGACTTGACAGCTGCACTCTCTCTCATTGTTCACCAATCCCTGGCTGTGCTAGATGTTCACATTGCTGCAGGTCCTGCTTGGCTGTACTCATTTGTTATCAATCTGATTCCGGCATTCATACCTCGGCTCCTGT